CTGAAAGGAGTATTTGCTCCCATCACTAGTCTTGTTCCAGGGCACATCAGGCCCCTCCAGAAGCCATTTAACCTCACTAATACAGCCACGTTATTGAGTTAAAGCAGCTCACAGAGGAGTCTGACAGGTTCCAGAGGCAGTGTTGAGGGATGGACGTGACTGAGAGCAGAGGAGGGAAGAGAGGAATAAATGGCAAAGGAGTAGTCGGGGGAGACTTCTTTCCTCTTCATTGTTGGCCAACTATGCTGTTGCCTGTCAAGCTCAAGATGCAGGCTTCTGAGAGCCTGGAAACACACCGTCTGTCCCCTGTTGTAACATCAAAACTCCATTTCGTAATGGTTTATCATGTCTAGAACATAACCACTGACACTCAGATTCTATGAGAGATCACAATGCACACAAGAACTTCCCAGGGCAAAAATAAACCTTAAATTTAGATTAAACAGGACTCGCCTTGATTTATGTAGGCGGGGGCGGAGTTTACCAGACTAACCCTTTCCAAACTAATACCAAACTGAAAAGAGCTTGTACAAGTGTTGGTAATTCAGTGATGTGAAGAAAGAAAGAAAACAAGCAAACAAACCCAAACGCTTGATTCTCATAGTAATGTTCTTCTTTCTCCATGTCTGTTATGCCTTCATTCTGCTCTGGCACATCCCTTCACTGTTGAGTACAGCTGCATATAGTACAGTAAATGTAACCAGACAGCAAAGACTAAATGTTGAACTTCGCATTGTGGAGTACGTAACATAACTGTGGCATGATCCTTGTCACGTATCAGTCCTTGTCTGTGTTTCAATTTGTCAGGGAATTATGTAGAAGTGTAGGATTGCCATCTCTCCTTACCCCGTTTACTGTAAGGAGAGATGCAGTACTTCATTCCATAAGAGCACTGTCCCCTAAGTGTTGGAAAGGGCTGTGTGTGGACTGCTTTAAGAGGAAAATTTCATGGTCGTTTCTCTGGCTTCTGCATCTTCTAGGGTAGCTTTTTCAGGGAAAAATAGAAATATTGAATTAGAGGTATAAAAAAAAAAACACTGGGAACTTGTTGCAAATGTTTGAGAGGGTTTGTTTTCCATTGGCAAGGAAGGATGGTATTTGAGCTCCTAATTTGTGTAGTTGAGAGAGGGGGTTTTGTGGACTCAGCTTCTGGCTCCTGCTGCTGAAGCAAGCGTTACATTAGGTTCTCTGGCTTTGTACAGAAGATCTTGGGAAAACAGTTTTAATGAGAAAGAAGAATCTGTCCTTTCCTTCCAAGAGAAGGGCCTGTAAACGTAAGAGATAAATATACTGTGGAAAGATGTCATTGTAGTCCTCTGGCTGGTGATACGGTGGTGTTTGTCTCTCCAGTTACATGCCAGGGAGGTAGCTCCGTGATTGTGAACTCTCTGTCCCTATCTATGTTTTGTTTTGGCCCTCCCGGAAAGAAATTCATCTTTTAACTCAATATTCTATGGGTAGACTTGTGATGACCTTAAAAAATTGAAAGCATTCAACTTACAGACAGATCTGTGCAATGAAACAGTTTTAGTGTTTCATAACTTTGGCTCAGAGGAACTTCGACTCAACTTGTTTGTAACTTTTTATCCTTTGATATTGTGGCTATTGTCAGGTTTTTGTAAGTAGTAGGAACAGTCTGTTGAGAATTCCAGTGTTACGAAGGACAGTGACCAAATGAACTGTTTTCATCTGTTGCAAACTTTCTACCATCTAGCCTGGAAACGCCCAGAGGCAATGAATATCCTTACAAAGAGGCATGGTTAAAGTGGATCATAGTTTACAGCAGCTCTTTTGGTGTCAGATGGAAATCAGTGTCTTTAGGATTTCCTAACACATGATTAAGTATCAGCTTTCTCTGCCTGCCTAAAAATGTCATTATTACCTTCCCAAGGACTTCAAATCAACTTACAACCAACTTCTCAAGGAACAGAACAGTGGATTTAAAGAATGTCCTAAATCACACTTCTGTTGAGCCGCATGCAGAAGACAAAGTCGAGGCAATCGCATTTCTATCACCTTGATCACATGGTGTGTAGACTATTTTCTGGGGTGTGCTTTAGCATATGACACTCTTCTAGATAGGATAGAATGCTTTTGTTCCCTTTTTAATGCTTCAGGCTTCCTTATGAGTGTGTTTGGGTTTGGTTGTTTGTGTTTTTTTTCCCCTTTCCTCCTTACATTATCCTCTGCGGTCCTTATGTTATTTAGGGTATTTGAAGAGAAGCCATTATCTTGTGCTTCAGATGTATGGTGTAAATCTTGATAGGTATTAAATTTAAACTGGTTTTAAAGTCTTATGACACAGGTTGTTAAACTACTAAAGCTAAAAGCTCTGGTATGATGCAGTTACGGTGCCACAGTTCATTTTATTCATAGAACTGGGATAAACCATTGCAATATGATTTTACTGTGGTGTAGACTTGTGTAGCTTCTGTTGTGCTGGGATAGTGAGATGGTTAAATACAAGGCTGTAAAAGTTCAGAGCACTATCTGACAGACACATTCTCCCAAATCACTTGGTAGTTCCCATGGTATCTCTGATAGCATTCCTGGGACGAATGCATGATGTGTCAAGCAGGGATTGAGCACATGAAGATGAGCAGTGCTGATGCAACAGATCTGGCTTTCTTATTACCTGATTTATTACCATGGGTGCACACCTCTTGTAGAGGTCTTTATGATTCCCCTTGTAAGTATGGCAAATGGATATATGTGTAGAAGAAGATTTGCTTTGTTTTTGCTTTAAATGATGAGAGTAACCAGATTAATGGGCAGTTTTTCATTAGAGAAAACATGTCTAGCTGAGATGGATCAGATTGCTAATGAAATGGACTGGTGATGCATGGCAGGAGAGGTAGGATCCGTTACTCATATCTAACTGAAAGGGGCTAATGCAGGGGTTTCTTTGATATTCTGGGGAAGGGAATAAGTGATTTGATTATTTTGTCTGAATTCCTATTACTTGCTTTTAACCCTAGATCTTTAGTCTGTTTTAACCCCTCTTAGGAGCACTCAGATGCCGTCTGCTGGGAAACTGATTAGTGACACTTGGTCTTATTGAACATAAGCTAAATACAGCCAGCTTACTGCTGGGTTTTTGCACTTTGGAGTTCAGCTAAGTTTTTGTAGGGAAGAAAAGAGTAGGTTTGACTCTTGTTTGAGCCTGGCTGTCATTGGAGCTAGTATCAGAGAGCTGTCCTCCGTGCATCGCTTCCTTAAATTAGGCATTTTGGATTTGATCCTCGGCATGTCACTGTTGCTGCTTTATTGCTGTGATACAATACTTACTCATGCCATCCGCTGTAGAGTATTAGATCTGAGCTGAAATGTTGTGTAACTTACAACTGTTTTTGCAGCTGATGTTCATGATTTTACACCTTTGTTCTCTGAGTGAAATAAGCAGCTTGCAAGATACTTACTCCACAGAAAAATGGTGCCATGGGAGAATTACCAATCCAAAGTATGAACTGGTCTTTGCAAGGGAATAGCAATTGGTAGCTTTTCTCCAAAAGCTCACCGAAATTGTTCTGCTCAGTTCATAGGATCATAGCTGTGGAAGGGAGCACCACAGTCTTACGGTGTTTGAACTCTCAGGGCAGAGCGAGCAGTTGGGATTGCAGCAGAGGGGTTTCAGTCCCTTGTAGCAATTACTTTTTGCTTATGGAAACAAAAAGTCTATCAGATAATGACTGAATATTAAACCCACTGTTGTTCCAGCCACTAAATGGAAGGTGTTTTGGTAAGAAACCTGAGGAACTGGCATTACCTGAGTGAGTTATTAAATTTAAAACTTAAAATGAAGTTGGTTTAATAAGAATAATCCTAAAACAATCAGGAGAAGCGTGAGGTCTTTCTGTGGTTTGTTTGAATTTTGAAGTGAGACTTGCATATTCAGTTTTACAGGGCAATTGCCTTTTTCTTGTCTTGATAATTTCCCTGTGATGAGCAGGAGTGCTAGTATCAATACTACAGCGAATGCATGAAGCTAAGGGATTAGTTGCCTGGTGATTGACAGGCCTTGAAAATGCTTCAGAGGGAGAACATTCCTTTCTTGCAGATGAAATTAGAACTAATCTTTCACCAGAACAAGTGGAATCCCAACTGACTGCTAAATGAGGTGATGCAATGTTGCTGGAGTGGCTTAGAACCCCAGCAACCAATAAAAAACAAGAACAAAAGATGCATTAAACCAAACCAACTTCTCAGTTAGAACCATAGCTGCTTTTGTTGTCATCATGCAACTTTTGAACAGTTACAGTATTTGAAGTGTATGGTACTTAATCCATCCTTTTTGAGAGCTAATGTGAAATACTAATGGAGGAATTTTGCTTATCAGCTTGGACAGAAACTGCACTTTCAAATGAAAATGCCAAGTCATAGCCAAACACGTTGTCTTAATAGGCCAAAAAGCTGGTAAACCTGATGTGACTAAGATTGTAATAGATTAGTTAGGCCAAAGCATGGAAATTCAGGGTTAATCCTTTTGAATTATTGGAGGTGATTCTTAAGGAAAACATTTATCACATGAGGTCTAAAGTATGTGAAGTATTTTGTATTGGGGTAAAAAGACAAGGTTCCTTTAAAGCAGCTTTTGCAGTTTTTAAGCCAGGTTACATAATAAAGGATTAGGGAACAGAATGAGCCAAATCGGATGAATGGGAGGTTAGAATGATGCACTGCTGGTGTGTATGACTTCTGATGAGAGTGACTTGGTACTTATTCATGTCTACATTTCAAATAAAGTTAATTCATTTTCCATAAATACATTTATTGCCATATGTTTACTCTTTATTTCTTGTATGAAACACAGGTTGAGAATAGTGAGTCATTCTCTAATATACTTAAACAGATATTTTCAGTTTTGACAATATCATTTCAGAACATACTATTCCCCATAGTGACAAACTGATGGCAATGCAAATGTTAGCCAACAAGAGATTTAGCAATGCAGAGTTTGTTTCTCTGGGCTTAACTGCTGGGTTTTGGTTTTTCTTTCATAGATGCCACCTTCAGTGAGCAGCAAGATCTTTTTTGTCAGAAGTTGCAACAGTGTTGTGTCCTCTTTGACTTCATGGACTCTGTTTCAGACCTGAAAAGCAAAGAAATTAAGAGAGCAACACTGAATGAACTGGTTGAATATGTTTCAACGAATCGTGGAGTGATTGTTGAATCAGCTTATGCTGACATAGTGAAAATGGTATGTAGAATGCTCATTATATTTTCAATGTTAATAAGATATCTTAATCAGTTTATGACTCTGATGACATCTAATTCGGGCTTGCTGTTGGTTATTCTGCTTATGCAATATAGTGTATAATTCATGAATGATAACTTGGTCTACAAGATTGCTTAGAAAGGCTTGTAAAAACAACCTGAGTTTTAATTATTAGCTGAAATATAATGCATGCAGGTTAATGAAAATGAAAGAGCAGGTATATTGCAGATGCTTGCAGTCTGGGTAAGCTTTGAAGTTGTTCTCATTCAGAAAAAGGCAGTATTTTAGTGCTGCCTGTCTGTTTGTTTAAGAATAGCAGTAGAGTGAAGGCTAAAGTTTTCGAGTAAAGATTCTTGTGGGTACTAGTGTCAACAGAAGGGTTTATCAGTGTAGGGAAGCAGCTCTACTTTGTAAATACTTTCTGTGCCTGGCTGTTACTGTTCTGGCCTTGGAGAGCTGTGCTAGAGTAGTCTTTAAGTGGTTCGCTTGACTTGTAAACCATGGGATGATTTATCCTGTCCAGTTTCTACCAATGGCTTGTTGAATAAGCAACAAAATAGTTGTGGTTACTATCTGCTGACTTTCCCAGGTATGTTAGATTCATTTTCATGTGCTACCTAAGCAACGCTTCAGCTATGCCTGTACTCCATGTACAGGGAGCTTAACTGAGGGATGTTTGCCAATCATCTGGAATACTTGAAAACTGTCTGTTTTAGAAATGTTCACTGTAGAAAGAATGTTGTTTAGTGCCTGTGCACTCAGGCTAATGGTTCTCTAAACTTCAATTGAGTTTACAGACACACAACACTGACTTCAAAAGTAGCTATCAGGAACGTAAGCAGACCAGCTCAAACATATGGCTTGTGTCTTTTGTGGTTTTCTATGCAATGCAAGCTGTTTTTTTCCTTAAGGTTTTTCACTGGGTTTTGTTTGGTTTTGTTTTTTTTTTTTTTTTCTCTGAGCAGCTGATACCAGATCTTTAATAGAAATAAGCGTGAAAATGTGCCATTGTACCGAAGGGCTGGAATTATTGAAACCCTGTTAATCATTTTGGCTGGTTCATCAGGTGCTTAGTAAGTTTTACAAAAGATTTAGGACACTGGGTGTGTGTGTGTGTGTGTATAGTTTTGCTTTTTTAAAGGACCTGTGTTTCTGTCCTCAATGTGTTCTACACAAGAAAATCAAGAACAGAAGGGACAGAGCATGTCCACCTCTTCTCTGGCTTTTTTATTGCTGCTGGTGGCAGCAAGCCTGAACCCTTGCAGTATTTTCTTACCCTGTGTGCTCTCTAGCCTTTTCTTAGAAGAAAGAGTATACTAACTAGCTTATCATACTTGTTGAAGGGAGCTTTTCTTTTACTCTGCAGTTGTTTTCTTTTCTTGGAGATAAGGTGGTGTTGAGCTGTTCTTTTGAGGTTATTGTTGTGCCAGTGATTGAGCTCTCTGGATGCTTGGTTTTCCTTCCATAACAAATTTCTGCCTCCTTTTGTCCACTAAAGTGACCAAAAATGAAGAAGGCCTAAAATGCTCAGTGAGAGCTTTTTCAGAGCTTGAGACAAAAGATCCCTCCAAGCCTGAATAGTATTTCTAGTCTCCCAGGCAACTGGCAACAGCAAAGGTCTTTGCTGTGAATCAGGCCCAAGTACCAGCTTTCAGAAAGAGCTGTGGCTGGGTCTCTCCTCCAGACAACACGTGTGTCAGGCTTGAGGCCTTCCTTTGTAGTAAAATTTCAATGAGGTTTAAAAAAGGTTTTTCTTTTTCTGTTTAATTCTTTAGATTTTGGACAGTATTACTACATTAAAAGAAAAAGCATTCGAGGTCTTTTGCAGAGTCTGAAGGATAGTGGATTTTGGGGTGAAAAAGTAGAATTCAGCATTAATAAAACCCTGCTATTATCTGACTAGTAGTAAAGGATGAACAGCCTCCAAATATTCCCTGACAAAGCCAGAGTGGCATCAGTGGCAGAAAGCCCCTTTGTCTTTCCCTAGGCCTGGGATACCTTTCCTCCAGCTTGCGGAAGAAGCAGCCCAGTTTCCTTGGAGCTGCCCAAGTCTTGGGGGGGCAAAGTCAACAATCCCTTACAGATATCAAGAGGAAAATAAGTGTTGTTCCTGACCAGTGCGTAGGCAAGGTCTGTGCAGGTGAGGAGGGCTCTGACCATTCCTTCCCTTCACATAGTCTCTGTTACCGTGATAGCCAGTACCATGCAGTAGTGGTTTGTGTAGCTGTCCCTGCTTGGATCTTGAGGTAGGGAGCACTGGTGGGAATGATACCAATGTCTTCAAGCCATAAACTTCCCCCAAACCCCTTTGTTTAGGCAGATGTGCAAGACATGCTGTAGATTCTTTTTGGTGGCCCACGCAACCTGATTTCAGTATAATTCCTGTGCCAAAACCTTTGAATTAAGAACTGAGGAAGAGTTTTACTTAACAGTTTTGAAGAGGTACCCCAGAATACCTCCTTTCTGGTCATCTAAAAGTAGTGTCTTCTCTGTTTGGAAATTCTCAGTTGGAAGTACTCTGAAGCCAACAGCAAATCTGGGTTTGGTGTTGTGAATATGTTCAGTTTGAAAACATCCTGGGAAGTTTACAGGCTCTAACCTTTATCTAGCCTTTATCCCAAACCTGTAGGTGTGGGAGTGTAACAGATATGCCCCTCCAGTAAACAACTCCTCCATTTCCTTGTCCCTGCCAGCCTCCTCTTGTTCCCCACCAGCATATCAAAATCCAGTGTAAATAAGTGTCCCAGCAGCTTGCGTGAGCTGGGAATTCAGCATTTCAAACCCCATCTGTTATTCCTATCTGCACACTCAGAAATTGGAATTGAATCTTCTGTCTCTCTAGAAGCTTAGATCATTGGGAAGTGCACAGGTAATCATAGAATCCCAGATGGGTTTCATTTGGAAAGGACATTAAGATCATGCAGTTCCAACCCCCTGCCGTGGGCAGGGGCACCTCAGCTAGAGCAGGTTGCTCCAAGCCCCTGTGTCCAACCTGGCCTTGAACACTGCCAGGGATGGGGCAGCCACAGCTTCTCTGGGCACGCTGTGCCAGCACCTCGGCACCCTCACAGGGAAGAACTTCTGCCTTAGATCTAACCTGAACTTCCCCTGTTTCAGTTTGAATCCATCACCCCTTTTCGCTGCAGTCCCTGATGAAGAGTCCCTCTCCAGCATCCTTGTAGCCCCCTTCAGACACTGGAAGCTGCTCTGAGGTCTCCACACAGCTTCTCTTCTCTAGGCTGAACAGCCCCAGTGTTCTCAGCCTGTCTCCATACGGCAGGTACTCCAGCCCCTGAGCATCCCTGTGGCCTCCTCTAAACTTGCTCCAGTATAATAAGGGAGATTTTTCTTTCTTGTTCTAATAAAATGGAATTGCTGTATCTTAATACATGAAGTAGCACATTTTCAGATGTCACTGGCACCAGGCTTTCTGAGATTTAGTTGAGGAAGCTAATGCTGGGCTTCCGTGGAAACCTCTCCAGCTGTAAAAGCCTTTTAGGATCTGTATTTCTCAAATCACAATTTTGGGATAAGACCCCGCTTACAAAAGAAAATGGATGTTTTAAATAATGTAAGAGGATATAGAGAAGAATTTGCCAATCGAAAAATAATGGGGGTTTTAACCCAAGCCACATTTTTGATCAGTACTGTTAGCAAGACGTTAGAAAAAATCAAAGGAGACAGGAAGCAAAGTATTCAAAACATAATGAAGTAAATGGACTCTGGGTTTAGGGAGACAGGCTTGTACATAAAAGTTGTACCCAGTTCATTCTTAGTTCTCAGGAGGCTGATCGTACCAGGAGAAGCACTGAATGCTCTGAAAATCATAGCATTAGTTTTCTGCAGATCTGGCCAAGAGTCTTACTCTTCGTTTCTGCTGCACAAGTATGTTCAGTAGGTAGTACCTTAGATTTGGCCTTGAAACTGTTGTTTTCTCTACACTGAGGTTCTGTGGTCAAAGGTTGACTGGGCCATTTCAGCAAGATGCCTCTAGAAATATAAGGATGTGTTTTCAAGCGCTGTTACCAGAAGACTTGTAAGGAGAGGTGGGGAAGCCTCTGTAAGGGACTGACTTGTATGTTGATGGTTTTGTTGAATACCTGCTAAGAGTATCAAATAACAGAACTAGCCTTGGATTTTGGGCTTGATTAAACTTCTCCTTCTCCCAGAGTCCTATTTCCTTCTTCTTTCCCCCCAGTTTCTCTTGTGTTCCGGAGCCCCCAGTCCCTTTAAAGGACAACTGTACTGTTTCAGGTTGGGTTTTTCCTGCTATGCAGTAGACAAGGAGACTGCTGTAGTGCCCATCCATACAGAACATCATTGCTCTTCTACTCCAGAGAGCAGCGGTGTCTGCAGATTTACCATGTACCAACAGTACAGACAGTGACATGACACAGGATGAGGCACATAGGAGGAAATGAAAAGTCAGTTTATGCAATAGCTTTGTATGTTGTTTAATGAGGCAGCTGATTCCTCAGTGCAGAGCCAGCTGGGTGACTTCAGGATCTTTTCGAGTCCTTTTGCCAGATTCTTCAAACACCTTGGAGACTCCCTGGGAGCTGTGCAGCAGCACTTGCTGCAGACTTGCATTTTCTGTGGTGCTCAATAGGCTTGGGTGGTTAGCAGCTATTTGAAGCAGATTTGGTTACAAGCATAAAGGGTTTGAAAGATGATCGGAAAAGTTGGGCTACAAGTGAACAACCAGTTGAAAATGCAGAAACGAACTCTATGTTCTCTTCTGTTCATGATAAAGAGGCTTAAAATCCAGTATGTTACATCTGGCAGAAGAGATGCCATTTCTTTTTCTTTTGCCATCTGAAAGGTTGGTCTTCTCTCCAAACTAATGTATACTTAAAAAATCCCTAAAGAAACCTTTTCAAACTTGCCCTTTTGAATTGGATTTGACAATTCCATCTTCAAGTAACTTGGTAGCTATTTTTCTTAGGTTTTTGTCCAAAGTTACTCTGTATTAAGTCAGACATTTACAATTGTTAATATATTTCTGACTGCCCAAAACTGTGAACAGCTTGAAATCATGAAAGGTGAAAGATTGCAAACAGTTTTTCAGTTCTGACTTTAAAGTGAGAAATAGCTTGAAATTAAGTGAAGAACTCCGAAATCAAAGCTATTTTGGGGGTTGTGTGCCTTAGATGTGGAGAGCTCTGTTAAAATAATTAATGGCTAGTCATGCTGTATTTATTGTTTTATATGGAATTATGGAATAGTTTGGGTTGGAAAGGTCTTTAAGATCATCCAGTTCCAACCCTCTGCCACGGGCAGGGACACCTTCCCCTAGAGCAGCTTGCTTCAAGCCCCTGTGTCCAACCCGGCCTTGAACACTGCCAGGGATGGGGCAGCCACAGCTTCTCTGTGCCAGTCAAACCAGCTCTTGGTGACACAGAGTTGAAAATTGCTCTTTGTAAGGGGAAACTACAACTTTCTTTTAATGTTCTTGGTTTCAGAGTAAAATCGTAAACGTGACCGTGTCCAGCTCCGAACTTGTAACCCAGTTGAAAGACTAATGTTACTTTCTTATTATTTTCATTGGCCTGTTTCAGATTTCTGGCTGTTTGGATTTAGCAGTTTTGGGGGGGGGGGGGGGATGAGATAATAAAAAGGGCATTAAAATATTTATCTGTTATATTGGGGTTTTTAAATACGATTTTGTTTCACATAATGTGAGGACACCAGCAGCACTTTGCTGAGCGTGACCTGTGCAAGCATAAGAAGTGATACAATGAAATTCTCTTCTCTTGCAGATTAGTTCTAATATTTTCAGAACACTTCCACCTAGTGATAATCCAGATTTTGATCCAGAAGAAGACGAACCAACTCTTGAAGCCTCATGGCCCCACATACAGGTATGCGATCCTTTTACAGAGTCATGGAATCATAGGATGGCTTGGATAGGAAAGGACCTTAATATCAGGACAAGGTGGAAGAGTGTAAGGGCCATGAAAGTGTCCCTTACAGTCAGTAGTGGCATCATCTGACTTCAAAATACCCCTGTCTCTCAGGAGTAAAACTGTACATGTTGGGTCACTTCAGGTCATAAGTAAACTATAGTTCGTTGTGTAGAAAAGGACTTGTGCTTTCTGTGACCAGTTCACTTGTGCTTTCTGTGACCAGTTCACTTGTGCTTTCTGTGACCAGTTCACTTGTGCTTTCTGTGACCAGTTCACTTGTGCTTTCTGTGACCAGTTCACTTGTGCTTTCTGTGACCAGTTCACTTGTGCTTTCTGTGACCAGTTCACTTGTGCTTTAGGCTTATCTAAGAGAAACTGAAAGAGGTTTGGAGCCTTTTTCTAAATGACTTCTGGCCAGGCTGTCTGGTCATTGATTGTGGATTTCCCTCTCCTGCACTCGTGGTTCATCCTGCAATAGATTTCTCACTTCAGCACAATGGAAGCAGTTTGTGCTTTCCTCTTTCTGTTACAGTTTATGTGCTATCGAATGGTAGAAGACTGAGTTTGATAACTTATTATTTGCCTTCCAGTAGCACAAAAGTACTTGAAGCATCAGATTTTGGGCATGGGGAAGGTGGTGTGCACAATCCTTACTCCTCTTCCCTTCCACAGACCACATTATTACTTTTGCTGTAGTCTGAAGACCTGCTTGGGAAGGGGAGGTATGGATATTTTTGTCTTGATGTGGCAGTTGGGTACCAGTTGTCTGGAAAATAAAGAAAGAAAAACCTGGATATTTATTCTTCTCTGGTTGCATCTGCTGGCATGTCTATAAAATAACATGCTAGATAATGGCTTAGTAAGTTACCAATGTGTGTAGTCACAACTTAAGACTCAGTACCGTGAGTACCATTTGGAAGGCGTTGCTTTAAAGCAACACTCAAGATGGTTTATAACAGCCGAACGAGGTTGAACAGGTTGGCATTACAGCTGCTATGTATTTGGAAGCCTGGGGAGTTGCAGGGTTAGTGGAATTGGTTGCTTAAAGCAGTAACATTCTGGTGATGTCTGGGAGAAAGAAGATGGAAACACCAGAGGTAACAGGAGTTATTGCATAACTTTTTTGACCCAAGCAAACCGATTTTGAGAACCAAAATGACCAAATCCAACAGTCCTCCCCTGATTTAGTATCTCCAATGATAATGCTTTGGTTAAACTCAAGGAGGTTCAACATACCTGTCTCTCATTTTTCTGGTTTTAGGTAAAAGCAGTCAGTATCAGTTGTGGATAGAATCCATTCTTGTTTCATGGAGTCACAGAATGGTTTGGGTCGGAAAGGACCTTAAGAGCATCCAGTTCCAGCCCCCTGCCACGGGCAGGGACACCTTCCACTAGAGCAGGTCGCTCCAAGCCCCGTCCAGTCTGGCTTTGAACAGTGCCAGGGATGGGGCAGCCACAGCTTCTCTGGGCACCCTGTGCCAGCGCCTCAGCACCCTCAAAGGGAAGAGCTTCTGCCTTAGATCTAACCTGAACTTGCCCTGTTTCAGTTTGAACCCATCACCCCTTGTCCTGTTGCTGCAGTCCCTGATTAAGAGCCCCTCTCCAGGATCCTTGTAGGCCCCTTGTAGTCTCTAGTGATAGTTATAATTTTAAGTTTGCAAACATCAATATGCAGGAGAAGGGAGAAGCTGACTATCCAGAAGTGGCCATTGCAGCCTGCTTCCTGAAATGCCCTAGGTAAAGCTTCATGGCTTTCCCAAGGATTTCCAAAGTTATTTGGTACCTTTTACCAGCTGTACCTGCTGTAGGAGCAGTGGTACTGATTATCAGGAAGCTTGGCAATTCTGTACACATCAGAATTGCATAAATACTCCCACAGTGCACCAAACTTCCCTGTGCTACAGCTCAGAAACTGGATTTTTGAGCATGCTGTTTGAAAGGTCTTTCAGAGCAGTAGCAGCAGTCATGATTCTGGACTTGCATGTGCTTCTCTGAAGCATCCAGAAGGTTACTAATGCATATTCTCCCCTAGCAGAAATGAGACATGTGACAGTTTAAGTTGTCATCAAGTATGGAGGATCTTGGATTGGTATTGACTTGTTCTGTTTTATAGATGAGATGTTCCATTGGATGCCATTGTAGTTGATAGCCTAAACTTAATCTTGGACAGCTTGTACCAAGATGTTACAGCGCTATGCTTTAACTTAGTTCTCCTTGATATTTATTGCAGTCCCTGTATTTATTTATGGAAAGAAGCCACAATTGTCCTTCCCTTCCCCTGTACTTTTGGGAAAACGAACCATACCCATTTAGTCTTCACCTGTAAAAGGTGCTCTGTCCCGTGACAATTCTGCTGTATCCCGTCAGGTTTGAATACGCTTCCTCAAGCATGTGTAGGATTGGACGGTGCCCTGCAGTTCATACTGATATGAGGGGTTTGCCCTTAGCTGGGTGTAGGACCTTGCACTTGCCCTTGTTGAACCTCATGAGGTTCACATGTGCCCATCTCTCAAGTTTGTCCAGGTCCCTCTGGATCCCATCCCTTCCCTTGGGTGCATCAACTGTACCGCTTAGCTTGGCGTCACCTGCAAACTTGCTGAGGTTGCGCTTGATCCTGCTGTCTGTGCAGTGATTGCTGAAGACATGAAAGAGTCATGGGTTCTCTCTTTCCAAGGCAGAGGCTGGAGTATGGTAATACTTAGAAATATGTTTCTGGATTGTCTATTACCAAGCTTTTAAAAATTGTCCTGTGTTGTCTCTTGTGCAGCTACTGTGTTTATGCACAAGAAGACAAATTAAGGCTGTCCAGGTTTTAGTACAGTATTGTTACATGAAATCTGTATACATGTAAACTGCTGATCTGAAAAGCTCTGGTTACCGTCTGCCAGAGGGGAAGAGAGAGTGAAGGGGAACTTGTGCTTCTGAGCTTCTGCTTTGCAGGTACAGCAATACCCTCCGTGAGGCTATGTGTAAGTAACTCATCTCAAATGTTCTAGATAAAAAGTACGTGTTGTCAAGCACTTCCCTCAGGTGAACTTCAGAATCCTGAATTTCTCAGGTACTAGCTCTCAGCTCAGTGCGGTAATAGTTCAGATACCTGCCTGTGGGTATGACCACAGCTCTGTGTGGGTGTTATTTAGAAGTCCAGTCAGTGATGTCTTCATGTATCTAACTTACATTTTAGTATTACTACTAACCAGTTTAACATGGAGTTAAGAATAGGTGTTGAGAACATAAGCAGCTGTTAATGTATCTGGACATACAACATGTTTCCTCCCAATTCTGTCTTGGTTAAGAGGTGTCTTGTGTGTATTTTACACATCTGCCATGGTAGTGCATTGTACTACATTGTAGTGCATTGATAAACCCCAAAATACAGGACTTGTGCTCTGGCTTCTTGTGTCTCTCTGCTACCTCAGGCCCTCACTAGCGCTCTCTCCTGTCTCTTTTTCCATCTGTGGGTATTGTGGTTTCATAGCAAATGGGGACTTGAACTCGGTAGACATAATGTACTACAAAATATAAAGGATTAAATACATGAAGATAAATCTGCAGAGGGTCCTGTTGTTTGACTTGAGTGTCCAGGATATTGAAACCTGATGTTGAGCCAAACCCTTCAGTTTCTGTGTTCAGCTTTTTAATGACTTTTCGTTTTTGGAGTTTTCAGCTGTAACTTAATTTCAGGAACACTGAGCAGATTTTTCTTACGTGTTTTAGGAATTTCGTGGTGTTGGAACATTTAATTTTACCCTCAGTGCTGTAAAGTGTTTGGTAACTTATTTCCACAAAATAGATTCTTAATATAGAAGAAAATGCGAATTTATGGAATATGAAATAACTGTGGAATAGCTAAACTTGCTTTTTGTCTAATAGTGATATTTTCAGTCACTTATTTACTAAACTTTGATTCTTCTGGGAATTAGTGTTCTTGCTACTTACTGTAACTGTTTCAATCAATTCCAGTAAAGGCTGTGATTAAGCAGTGATGTGTCAGGCTTCGGTTTCCCTTTGGACCTTTTAAGCATGTGAATAGCCCCACTGACTCTGTGGTGGTGGGCCTGAGGTCTGTGTTACTGTGCACTTCCTAACTTGAGACTCTTCATTTTGATGTTTATAGTTGGTGTATGAATTCTTCCTGAGGTTTTTGGAGAGCCCGGATTTTCAGCCTAGCATTGCAAAGCGGTATATTGACCAGAAGTTTGTACAGCAGGTAAGCACAGAGTTTTCTCACCCCCAGAGTTAAAGATCACCTCTCCAGCTTAACTTACCAGATGGACTGTACAGACAAGGAGAATATTAGAATTGTACAATCATAGAATGGTTTGGGTTGGGAAGGACTTTAAGAGCATCCAGTTCCAACCCCTGCCATGGGCAGGGATGCCTCACACAAGACTGTGTCTCCCGAGGCCTTGTCCGACCTGGCCTTGAACACTGCCAGGGATGGGGCAGCCACAACTTCTCTGGGCAGCCTGTGCCAGCGCCTCAGCACCTTCACAGGGAAGAACTTCTGCCTTAGATCTGACCTGAACTTGCCCTGTTTCCGTATGAACCCATCACCCCTTGTTCTGTTGCTGCAGTCCCTGATGAAGAGTCCCTCTCCAGCATCCTTGTAGCCCCCTTCAGACACTGGAAGCTGCTCTGAGGTCTCCATGCAGCTTCTCTTCCCCAGGCTGAACAGCAGCAATATTCTCAGCCTGTCTCCATATGGGAGGTGCTGCAGCCCCTGAGCATCCTCGTGGCCTCCTCTGGACTTGCTGCAACAGCTCTGTGTCCTTATGACATGTCCTTAAGAAGTGGAACTTTCACATTGACACAGGGTTAAATTTTAGTTATTCCAGCAGTGGTTTCTGCCAAGCACCACATAAACAGCACATCGTACCACACAGACGAGATCTAATTACTGGCTTCAGAAACACTTTGTCTTCAACTATCAACCTTAGTGCTTTGCAATGGAAGGTAGTTGTAATTCGTAGACACAGGTTGTGTTCTTAATGATTTGTAACTTCCAGTCAAATCATCAATGTGCTAATTGAATTTTTGTAGTGCTTTTATGTTTGTTTTGTCATAGATTTATCATGGGAAAACTTCATGTACACTTATTGGACATGAAATGTGTTCCAACATCTGCTAACTTGTGATTAGATGGTGTCATTCTCTTTAATATTGTGTGTTAACTAGAGAAGAAGCAAGGAAGAAAGCACACAGGAAAATCATGCTTTACCTTGCAAAGTCATTACAAGCTAGAAAGTGAAGTGAGATTTCATATTAAATACAACTTCTCAGGGAATTGGGCTGTAGAATACCATAACAACTTTTGTCCAGGGTTACTCAGTGGGGATTTTCTTTTACCAAGTCAAAATACTTGTTTGTTAAGGAAAAGCTCAGTACCTCCAGTGAGTGCTGGCAGGCCAGCACAGCAATGAAGAGTAAAAACATAGATGGGCGCTTTCCCTCCCCTCCTTCAGTGGCTGCATTTAATTTCCACTTGTTTGGTCTTACTGTTTTTGGTTAGAAGTGTTACCTTCTTCTCTATTTTGTTCAACTTCCCCACAAAAACTTAGGCCTGAAGCTGCTGAACTTTCGGCTGTGCGTATCCAATATTGACGTGTTGCTCTTAAAAGCCCCATTGCAGTGTTTTAATTCCTGACCTTTCACTTGATCTTTCTGTATAGTACGAGACAGACAATGCAGTGAACTGAGCTATCTATCTATCTATAGATATGGGGGGGGGGGGAGAAGTGTAGTAGTGACCTTGAGAAATTCCTTCTAAATATAAAAATGAGCCTGAACGAAGTTCCTGAACAGCTGTTCCCAGTCCCTCCTGCTGCTTGCTGTAGGCATACCTGAGCCCCCAGACCCACACTGAGCAGAGGCTGAGGACTGCTTGAGATAGTGCAGGTAGTGTTTCTGAACATGCTCTTACTCGGATCCACAGGGGAAATGAAATCACTACAATAATGGTCTGTAGTGGGTTGGGAATATCTTTTGATGTCTTCGAGTGGGTATGGTCATTCCTTGGCAGACTTTCTACAAGAAAACAACGGGTGGGAGATCTTCTTAGCTGCTTGTGGCATTTAGTCTGTGTGAACAGAGAATTGGTTAATAGTTATGGATCTTATGCTTCTTTTATGACCCCCTCCATATTAAATTATTAATTGTTACATTTCTCTTATGGGAATGGTTTTGCTTAGCCTTCAAGACAAGTAGTGTTTTGAGATGAGCAGTACCACAGACTTGGTTCACTTAAGTGTAAACCACTTACCCTAAAGTCTGATAATCTCATTCTTAATTTTCCTTTTGATAGTGTAATAGTTGTTGGAATTGCTTTGTCTGTTGTATACCGGCTTCTGAAGGGAATGAAGCTGGTGGTTTCTTTCTTTTTTAATGAGCAGCTTTATTAAAAATCTACTTTTGAAGATACAATATTGACCTAAAAACGATTTTAGGTTAAACTGATTCTTCTAATGCCAACTTGCAAATGAAAGTTAATACTTGAATTGGTTCTAACATAACAAAATTGAAGTCCTTCAGAAGTAATAAATCTCAGTTTCATATTTCAAGTTGTTGGAGCTCTTTGATAGTGAAGACCCACGAGAACGTGATTTCCTAAAGACAGTTCTTCATCGAATCTACGGGAAATTCCTCGGTTTGAGAGCATTCATCAGGAAACAGATCAACAACATTTTCCTCAGGTACGCTCTGCGTGTGTGTGACCAGGTTGAGGAATGTTGTATCTTGCCTTTATGGTTTCTTTGGGATCTCTGATCCTCTATTTTGATGTCTCTTTTTGTAACAGGTTTATATACGAAACAGAGCATTTCAATGGTGTTGCTGAACTCCTTGAGATATTAGGAAGGTAAGTTTGATCTGACAAATACAAATCGTTGTGGGTGTTTGCTTCTGCTTTCTTGTTTTGGGAATGGAGGGGAAGAGGAGTACTACAGTAATGAGCAGTGAAGTGCAGTCACTGGTCTGATACTGCATCTGGGTTACCATGTGAATATCAAATGAAGGTATAGAGTGTAAGTTACTCTGGTTTGGTGCAAGTTTTACAGATGACTGTAAGGCTCCTTGTTTGTCAGGAATACCTACTCTTCCTTGTCCTCTATATAGAATGAGAGAATAGTTAGGGTTGGAAAGGACCTTAACATCATCCAGTTCCAACTCCCCTTGTTCCTGGATTCCAAAAATGAATGTTAACTTTTGTCCTCATGCTGAGTGAAATGCTTTAATCTTCAGCAGGCTGGTTTTCTTTAAATTCTCTTCAGGAAAGCCTTATAAGTGCTGGGGGTGGGGGGTTGAGTTATCTTCTTTTGACATTATTTCACTAATACAAATCTTTAACTTTGAAGGTTTTTATGGTAATATTTTACTGTGTTTCCAGAACTGGTACACACATTTTACAGTAGAAAACTTTATTACTGGTCTAACTGAAAATCCAGCCATTGTGAAACAAATCCAACCAAAACCCAACCAGTTTGTTGTGGAACAAATTGTCATGAAAAGCAAATGACAGGAAAGCCCTTGTTTTCTCAGATTTATCTCAGATGTAGGGGGAAGAGAAACCCCAACCTCTTCCTGAAGAATTTTTGCTCAACTCTTAGAAAGGAGATTACTGAATCAGTGAGAACTTTTGAATGTTGTTTTTGGAGGGGAGGGCTGTTCAATAGCCTCAAACTGCACTGTTAAAATAGTTCCAAACCATATGCCACAGCATCTCTTTCTCTGCAAGTGGCTTGTGGTTGTGGGTGGAATGGATCAGCTTCCTCATGCATCTGTCTCAGCTTTACAGTTAAGACAGCAAGGCTTACTGTGGATGGTTTTACTTAGTCAAGGTCCCAGTCAAAATGCTTCAGCTCATCTAACGTGCATTATTTGACTCCTGCTGTGGTTCTTGGGTATTCCTACTAAAAGTCTGAACTCCCATGATACCAACACTTTAAAGGTTATGCATATGTAGAGCTGTTTCATGGCTTCAAAATAGCTGGGTTTAGAAATGGAATCAGAAATGGGGCATCTCTTGAATTGACATAAATTCTTGACTTGCTGGGAAAAATAGGTTTTCATAAAAAATAAACCCTGCTTATTCCTGTTTTCAGTATTATCAATGGCTTTGCACTGCCACTGAAAGCAGAACACAAACAGTTCCTTATGAAAGTTCTGATTCCCATGCATACTGCAAAGGGATTAGCTTTGTTCCATGCACAGGTAAGCTTTTGCCTATTATTATGGGGGGGGGGGGGGGGGTTGTATTTGCATTTGAAATTAAGGAAATCTGAATGTGTTGTTCTGTCAATACCCCAAAATATCTGCAAATTTGGTCACTCTTAAAAATAATCTTACAGATCTTATGTCTAAATGTTACTTTTGAGATAATATTTATCACGTATTAAGAGTGAAAGAATGTAACGGTGAGTCAAAGTCACGTCAACTGAAGTGAGAAGCTTTTTTGCTGGCTTGTCTCGTCACACTTTAAGCTTCATTTAATCTCAGGACCTTGTGCTGTTATCAATTCCTTTATGTAACCTGAATGCTGTGCATAAAGGAACCTCGAGGATGGCCAGGTATGTACTTAAGAAGTGCTTTTGTATTTCTAAAGCCATACCAGTGACAGGGAGGGGAGGAGAATGTTGGATATAAATGGCAGAGATGGCTAATAGCTCTCTGGATCAATCCAGCTAGGAATTATGTAGGTCCTGACACACTGTCAGAATGCTGCAGTTCATTTGCCCCATTCTTATACTTGCACAGAGATTCAGCTTTTTATTTGAGGAATAACCTGTGTCCTTTCCAGACATATGGCACTTGAGTATTGAATGCATTTGATGCAGACTTGCAGTTCTGCTGTGGCTAATTAAAAACTTGCTTTGTTAACTTAACTCACTAATACAGCTCCTTATAGGCCAATGATATAAGGAAATGAGTTCCTAATTAAAGCAAGTCATTATGACTGTAGAGTTACAAACAGGATTGAGTCAGAGCTCAAGTTAATTCCTGATTCTCCTATAAAGTTTTAAGTTAATTAAATCACTTGTCTTTGTGGCTTATTGCTGTGCAGTAGGCTGCTCCATTGAATGAATCAGTGTTAAGGAAGGGACCAGTGGCTTGCCAAAGGTCCTCTCACTGGCAGATCGGCGCAGCAAGCTGGCCTCTTTGCTGTGGCGTGTTTAACATCACGTTACGTTCATCGCTACCTGAAAGAGTCCTGTTAATTCAGCTGTACCGAATGTACCCAAAGTAGCATTTGGTTTGCTGACCAGCCTATGCCCCCCTGCTGTCATACAGCAATATTGCCCCATGCAGTTTCAGCACTGAGTGTTTTCTGGGTTTGTATTATCCTGGAGGTGGAGACCAGCATCACATCAGCTTTGCAGGCAGGGGTGGTCTGATTGCTTTGTACAGTACAGGTTTAGCCTATTCTCAAAAGTTAAAGCCTTAAAGCTGAATTAAGCTTGAGTCTTTGTGTCTGTGAACAATAGAGCATTACTGCATAATACATGGAGTGGGATTTTATGAGATTAAAGTGTGACATTTATTATTTGTTGAAGCTACACGTATGCATCCTTAGCCTAAGGGTAACAGAAGTAAGTTAGACCTGCTGTAATTATAGAATTGTAATTACAGAATTGCAGTTATCAGCTTTGGGATGACAGAGGAAAAAAAGAGAGAGGTGACGCTTGAATTCAAGCATCCTAAGTATAGCAATGTCAGTGTAGGTAGTACATGTCCATAACCTTTGTCTTTGCTTCATACTGTGAGATGAAAAAGATTGTGACTTCTTAAACTCGGTCTTAACGGAATCTGGCATTGTAGCTACTTCAGTGATGGGGTCCGTGTACGGTTTGTGTAATGGGCAGAGGTATGGTTGGTTAGTTACTTGACTATGTGCTGAGTAACTAAACAAGAATTGGATAACCCAGTATCACACTTTGGCCTAAGAAGGCTTTCCTGGACAGGACTCACCAGAGGCTGGGAGAGGGTGCTGGGAACTTGATGACATTTTGCTTCCCCTCCTTCAGACACTCTTCATGAGTGTTTGCTGCTGGCCATTGCTCAGGATAGGCTGTTTGGCTGCCTCATCTCTTGTGGCCGTGCAACACCTTCCAGTGCTATTGCCTGTAATCTCACTGCCAGCTGTTGTGTGCTGGATGTGTCTAGACGTCGAGCAATGTGTGTTCAGTCAGACCTGTTATAAAACTTCCTTTTTTTGACTGAAAATACCACCTTTTTTTAATCTTGGTATAGATGTTTGAAATTACAGTTTTGCAATGTTAATACAGGAAATGTATCTTACTATAGATATTTAACATAATACATTGAGAGAAAGTCTGTCTGGATACTGGATTTGAGTTGGGGAAATGTCTGTCAAGCTTCAAAGTGATTCTCTTCCAGGATGGGGGGAGGGAGGGGAAAAAAAAAGGAAGGGTTTTGGTATGCAGAAAGCTTTAGTAAGATAGAGCAGGCCTGTATATCTTGCTGCTTTAATTGCTGTTCTGTTTAGTTTGGAAGAACTCAAACTGACTGTGTGGTGGGGTTTGGGTTGGGTCCCCTTTTGCCCCGATCTTAAGTGCTTCCATTATAAGCTGTGATATTTAGTTATGCTGCAGTGTCTAAACAGTGTCTGTTTAAACTAACTACTCATCTGCCTTCCATTCCAGCTCGCCTATTGTGTTGTACAGTTCCTGGAAAAAGATACAACTTTAACAGAGCCTGTAAGTGTGCTATTGAGTTGGATGGGTTTCTGTTTTTACTTTCACCTAAATATTGCAGTGTAAGTTGCTGCAGTTGCAGAGCAATGCTGTCTGTGCTGCCTTCGTGAGCCAGAGCTGTTTGGGGGGGGTGTGGGGGGTGTGTTTTTACTCTAGAACAGGGTTTGAAAGGGCAGTTACCTCTCAACCTGTGACCAAGATAAGGCACAAATGTAACTCGACATTCAAGCCACTGCTATCATGCAGATCACCTTGTATGAGAAAGCCTGTAACAACTTGTCTTCCCTCCTGGTAACAACTAGAATCCCAGTATTCTTGGTGCTGGTGGCTTGTGCGCAGCCACTGCGTGAAGCTGAAATATTTTAGGGAACAAACAATCCCAAAATAAAAGTTGGAAAGAAAAACAGCACTTCATTTAGGCAGGAAGGACTCTGATTTCTGAATGTTCCTGTGCTGTCCCTTCAGTTCCCGGGGTGCCTCTCAGCAGCTGTACCGGTGCTTCAGGCTCTTGCCAGGCTGAATCTCTGTGATCCACACTGACAGCTCAGCTCAAAGGGGTTTGCAGCACTTCTTTGTGCTGGGTCTTTGGCAATGTCTGCAAAGAAGAGCACAGGTTCGGGGCAGTGCAGCAGCTCTGGGGACAAGGGCTGATGTCAGACCAGCCACAATAGAAACTGGATTTAGTTGGGCACTTGGAAACCTTTCCATCTAGGGGTATGCTGATGTTTAAATCCTTTGATAAGTTGATATTTAAATCCCTTTTTGTAACAGGAAAATGAAAAGCTTACGCTTTTCAGCATAAGAAAAAGAAGATGAACAGCTCGGTGGGAACAGTGTGGATCTTCACTGGCATTGCAGTGAAAGCTTGTTTTCTCCACATCCATTAACCATCCATTAATGGTTTGGGTTGGAAAGGACCTTAAGGGTCATCCAGTTGCAACCCCTGCCATGGTCAGGGACACCTTCCACTAGAGCAGGTTGCTCCAAGCCCTTGTGTCCAGCCTGGCCTTGAACACTGGCAGGGATGGGGCAGCCACAGCACCTCAGCACCCTCACAGGGAAGAGCTTCTGCCTTAGATCTAATCTAAATCCACCCTCTTTCAGTTTAAAGTGGCTTCCCCTTTTCCTATCCCTGCATGTATTAAGGATTGGTGTTCCTCATCAGAAAAGTTGCTCTGTAGGTGATGGAAGGTGGCTGACCTGGCTGTAAATGTGCCTTGTCTCCTTGAAGCACTTTCTTTCCCTCTGCACTGCGGTGTTGCCAGCTACACTGGTCAATAAGCTTCATTTGTTGGATAGGGCAAGGAGAAGGGAATTGTGTGAGCCTTATTCCTTAAGCCAAGTGAGCAAACCACCCAGGCATCTTGACAGCTGACATGTGAGCAGAAAATGGGCAGTATTACATGGAGACCTGTGAAATTGAATTAAATGATCCGAATTCACAGAGCTGTGGTGCAGGTTCCAAGCCCATTTGACAGTGAAGAAGGCAGTGCTTTTGAAGCAGGAGTGCCATGGCGCAAATCTGAGGCTCCATCTGGATGATACAGATGGTTATGGCTGCCTCTTGATCAGTAAAGATAAATTCAGACCAGGGAAGGTTAACTCACTGCAGAGTCACTGCCTGTGCTTGCTTTGGCCATTACTCTGAGCAGAACTGGCGCTTTATAAAGGAATAGAAGTTGGTCAGATAAGAAAGCAAAGCTCAGACTTTCTGCAGTGCTTGAAAAGGCAATGTTACATCTTGGGGCAGCTGATGAGAGAGCATCTGGAAGTTTTTCTTTGACTTTAGGTCAAGGGATATTTTAAGGAGCCCATCAGAGGCTGCCTTCACAAGTACCTTCCTGTTATTTTTCTGGCATGGATTGTCACTCTGGGTCAATTTAGAGGACATTTGGTGCACGCTCTTGTAGCTATGGGAGGCTGCCTTAGGTCAATCCTGATGTTTGCAGAGAAGCAAGCTCCCTTTCTTTGACAGGAAGAGTTACCTAACCCTGCTCAGTGCAATGGCCTTTACATTGAAGGAATCGGGCTAACCACGTGGTTCTTGTACATCAGGTTTCTAGGCAGTGCCTACTGATGTAAGTCACTTTGTGAGCTCAGGAAAGAACATTAAACTTAGGAGTTCTGCATAGTATGAGCAGCAAGATCTCAGCTCCACATTCATGTGGAATGTTCCTTTGAATACAATCTTTGAACGTAAATGAGCATATATAAGCCTTTTAATATATAGCATAGTCAAGCTGGAAGCTGATGCCTTCTCTTAGGAGCAAGGAGTACGTATCTTGTTGAGGTCTGCCCTCTTATATTCTGATCACATTATTGAGAGTATGAGTCTCTGTAGCAAAGTATATTCAGCACTCTTACAATAACAAGTGCTGGAGACTGGACTCTTCCAGTGGGCTCAGCTTTATGCTTTCAAGAGCAGTAAATTCATGTTCCAAATGGGGTGTTTGGTGGCTTCTCACAGCTTTGCTTTGGCAAACGCGCTTGTCTGAAGTTTTTTGGCTTGCTTTCATTGTAAAGGGTGGGGTGCTGGCAGAATGAGCTACGATACCTGTAAATGTTGGGCTTTGTTCTTGAAAACACAAGATCTCAATCATATATCCCAGAGTCGTTCTGTTACCAGCTAACCAACGGTGCAATGGCCCTAGATTCCAAGTGGATTTGCATAGACTGCTTCAGGTCATGACTCCAGAGAAACAAATGTGATTCATTTATAGAAGTGAATGAGTGAAGGCTTGCCCCATCAGGTGATGGCAGTGAAATGGGGGAGCTTCACATTTCTCCTCCCCTTCACAGACAAAGGCAGAGCTGTCACCCTTGGGGCTGATTGCTCCTGCTTCAGGCACTGGTGTTGGCATTGCAGCTGCCTGCACCATTCAGCCAGCTGGGTAGAACTGCCTGATCCAGGCTCATCTCTGGAAAGCCACCTTGGCAGTACCCTGAGTTGTGAATAGAACAGCTGGGAGCTGGGGAAAAACATCAACATGGCAAAAACCAGCACCCTCACAGGGAAGAGCTTCTGCCTTATCTCTAACCTGAACTTGCCCTCTTTCAGTTTGAACCCATCACCCCTTGTCCTGTCGCTGCGGTCCCTGATGAAGAGTCCCTCTCCAGCATCCCTATAGGCCCCCTTCGGACACTGGAAGCTGCTCTGAGGTCTCCACGCAGCTTCTCTTCTCCAGGCTGAAGGGCCCCAGTGTTCTCAGCCCGTCTGCATACGGGAGGTGCTGCAGCGTTCTAATAGTTGAAGTTTTCTGGCTGGGTGCGATCGATTGGGTGTTGTATCACAGAAAGAGATGTCCTTGCCTCCGATGAACACTTCTAAGGCTCTGAGAATGTTTCTGCTTCCGAAGCATACAGTTACAGTGCTTTTTTTAGCCAGCATTAATTTTGTCGTTCAGATACCACGTCAGATGTTTGTTTCTAGGAGACAGGCCCCCAGCCTCTGTTTGTTGTGCTCCCCCCTGCTCTTCTTGGGGCTGTACTTTCTAATTCAGCATCCTAAAGGTTTTCTTCCCGTCTTGTGTAAGATAGTTTCCAGCGTAGATACTGAAATCTGTTTTCCCTGCAAGTTCACATCTAGTGAGTTTTCAGTCCTTCCTATTTCCCATTCCGGAAGAGCAGAGGAAGTGATGGAGACCAATGGCTCCCCTGCAGTGCAGTCACCATATACCGCTTGTGCTCAGGCTTCAAGCCTTGATGCCAAGACAGGGGTTCCCCAAAGCATAGACAAGTAAAGACAAAAGATACCATGGGAAATCTAGCTACAGGAGAGTTAAATTCATGGTTTTTTTTTTTAATCCAGTGTTACCAGGATCCTGTCAATATGTGTAGAATCATAGAATGGTTTGGGTTGGAAAGGACTTTAAAGGTCACCCAGTTCCAACTCCTTGCCACAGGCACCCTAGACCACGTTACCCAAGGCTCTGTCCAACCTGGCCTTGAACACTGCCAGGGATGGGGCAGCCACAGCTTCTCTGGGCACCCTCTGCCAGCGCCTCAGCATCCTCACAGGGAAGAGCTTCTGCTTTAGATCCAACCTGAACTTGCCCTGTTTCAGTTTGAAGCCATCACCCCTTGTCCTATCGCTACGGTCCCTGATGAAGAGTCCCTCTCCAGCATCCCTATAGGCCCCCTTCAGACACTGGAAGCTGCTCTGAGGTCTCCACGCAGCTTCTCTTCTCCAGGCTGAACAGCCCCAATGTTCTCAGCCTGTCTCCATGTGGGAGGTGCTGCAGCCTAAGGGCATGGAGTGTGACCAGATAATCAAGGACCTGTGAAGCGATCAGGGTCTGAATTACCCTGATAACCTACACCTGATGAATATGAAATGAGGCAGCACAGTATTTGTTTCCAGTGGAGCTACATTTACCGGTATTCAGTTTTCATTCAACCTCTGGGTAAAGAAAAGAGGAAAACCAAACTCTTTTGGAGTGATTTTTTTTTTTTTTTTTTTCTGTTCCGTTTAAATCTTCTCCAGTATGTGATACAAACTTGTTCTGCTTTAACTTGTCTGTGTTTTTAATGTAGGTCATCAGAGGACTGCTCAAATTTTGGCCAAAAACGTGCAGTCAGAAAGAGGTTGGTTTTGTCTCGTTTCTGGTGGTGTGGTGCCTGCTGTGTTGTGCAGGGCAGCGGGGCAGGGGCAGGTACCTCTGCCCTGCTTCCCAGGGGGACCCTGCAGCAGTCTTGCACTTCCTGGAGCTTCTTGAGATGCTGTCATGTTAACTCGGTGCATGCTTTTTGTATGTCTGTTCTTAGTGTGGCGTTACCACATTAAACCATATTATTGGTTGTACTCTAACAAAGATACCCTATAGGGAAAGTATTTTGATGTGAGAAGTCTCTTACTAGGTAAAGAGCAGGTTGGAGGTAGTCACTTGCAATGTGACACTGATGCAGGACTTGAGATGGCAGGTGTCCAGTGAAGAATGCATGTTCTTTTTCCATAGTACAAACACAGCTTTTAGTGCTGTTGGGAAATTCTTCTTTTCTGTTTTCTTCTATGTAGTCAAGATGAGCTTGAAGATCAGGAGTTTGATTGATGCCACCAGATCCCACCCCCCAACAGCTCTTTAAGAGCAGGGTCCCTTAATGCCATTGTCCCTCGTCATGTGAGGGTTCATAAAGTCTCCTGTGGCACCCAGCCTAGTGCTGGTTGTAATTTAAACCTGGAATGAACTATTTCTCACTTCCTAAGCCCATTTGGAGAGCTCTGGTGACAGAAATCCCTGCAGCCAGGCTTGAAGACATCAAATGCTGCCCGTGGCTGTCTGACACACACGGTTGCAGCATTCTTGGCAGGATTCCTGAGCTGATGTATGAGCTGTTTGGCTTGGTTCTGTTGACAGAGGTGGTATAAAACACTCTCATGCTTTTTGATGTCTTTCTTTTATACCAACAGGTCATGTTTTTAGGTGAAATTGAAGAAATCTTAGATGTAATAGAACCGACACAGTTCAAAAAGATAGAAGAGCCTTTATTTAAGCAAATATCCAAGTGTGTGTCAAGTTCCCATTTTCAGGTAAAAAAGACTATTAAAAGCAAAAGAAGAACTTGCAGTAACTCACCTTTTGTGGCTGCTGACCCCTAAACTTTGTGTTTCAGGTTGCGGAAAGAGCTTTGTACTTCTGGAATAATGAATATATCCTCAGCCTGATCGAGGAGAACATTGATAAAATCCTACCCATTATGTTTGGCAGTTTGTACAAGATTTCCAAAGAACATTGGAATCCGTACGTAATGTTTAAGTCCAGCTATGGTACCATAAATCGGTTGGCTGCTGGGTCAGGTTTAGCTGAGAAGCTTGTAAATAGGACTTTGTTTTGACTTAAATCAGGTGAGCTCACCGAGATGATGGGTGCTAAATGATTTTGGCAATAGCATGTCTTCGCTCTTCTGCAATGTTATGATGGAGACCTGGAATTTACTGGGAAAGTAAGAGGAAATGGGATGCTGCTCTTCATCCTGTCATCACATTTAGTCTTACACCTTAATGAAAAATGCAAATTACTATTACTATTACTATTACTTAGACCAGTATCATCTCCAAAGGATGCTTCTGCTGTATTTATACTTTGCTGTCCTTTCCTACTTCAGCTCAACAAACTCCTGTCAGCATCTCCATAAGAAGTTATTGCTGGCCAGTGGGATAAGCAGGGGGCAGGATACACTCAGAGAAGAGCAATGCCTACCACTATGAAGGGTGCTAGTGAGAAAGGAGTGACTGCTTCACCTTACATTTAATGGCAGAAGTTAAATACTAGTGATTTTATATCATGTTTGAAAGAAGCAGTAATCCCACTGAAATACTAAAGAGCAAGTTTGCTCCTGTCCAGCATCCTGCATTGAGCTGCAAGTCCATTTGCAGGAGGTAAAGCTCGTACAAAGGTCATCTGAACCCATAAAGCTCATACGAAGCTCAAAAGCCGGGGTAGGCAGGTAGTCCTGGAACTCCAGAGTGAATCTGGTGCCCTGCTTTAAGCCCTTGGAGGCTCTGAAGTCATTCTGGATCTGTGCAGGTGATGTGTGTAGCTGCACATGTGTCAGCCAGGCCTGAATATAAACGAGTTCTTGGAGCATTGATAATACTTGCGATCTCAACAAATGTGAAGGATGTCCCTCTTTTCCTGACTGCAGATGGAAGCTGCTCTGCATGAAGGAAGTGGGAGACCCAGGATCATTGTGTATGTTGAGGATGAGGAAGTTTGGGGAAGAAAGTTTGGGGCTTAATCTGTTTTGGAGGGCAGAGAAACATGCTCCTGTCTGTCTGTCTGATACAGCCTTAGCTACTGGCTCAAAACCACGCTTTTCCTCTGAGAAAGCCAACACCCTGAGTAAGTTTTGTCTTCAAACCATATGAAAGCCAGTGTTCAAAGCTGGGTGTGTGGCTGGGCTCAGTGCAGAGGTGTGCTCTGAATGAGGGTAAGGCCTCTGATGTGCAGCTGGGAGATTTCATAGTGCCACAGTGGACAGAGAGCATGGTAAAAGCAAACCTGGACCTCTGGCTGCTTCCTTAGGTGGTTCTTTCTCTCGTTTCTCAAGACTTCCCTGCTCCACAGCCTTGCACTCAATGCTGCTGAGTGCTGGTGAACTGCTGGCGAGGGAAAAGACGGGAAGACTCTCGTCTCTTTTCATCAGTGTTAAGCTTAATGCTGGGCGCCTTCTTCATTGCTATTTGCTGGTTTTGCATCTCTGTGTAACTGAGTGGGTTTATAGGAGATAACCACCACCATAGTGGAGATAATTTACTGAAATACAAATGCTTTCACACGAGAAGATTAATGCCCAAGGTGGAAACAGGGACAGCCATGCAGGACACAGCCACTATTGCTCAAGCTCCTTAAGGAAAGGAAGGTCCTTTACTGGGAACTGGTATCCAATGGTCTCCATTTGGTTCCTGAACGGAGTCTGCATTAGCAGAGCTCCCTGCTCCCAGAAGCCCTTTCAGTGACTGTGTGAAAGCACGCGCCTGTGGTCCCTCTGCCCAGGCCTGGCGCTGTGAGCCAGGAGGAGTTCGATTTTTCTGGACTCTCATATTTCCTTACTCAAATCCTATCAAACAGTTGTCAAAACCCGGTTTAAATGTGAACCTAAGTGAATGGCTTCATAGTGCAGCCGCAGCACTGGTAATTACACCCTGTGCAATGACAAGAATTGGGATTTTAAGGTTAAACAGAGCGTGTTTAAATGTGCAACTTGTTAATTTCCCGAGGAAGTGATGGTTGAGGATTTTGTGTCGCAAATTCACTCATCTTTCAGTGGAATCTTCCGGAAACTGAGCACTTGTTCACCGAAGCACATCTTGTGTCCTCACGGTCATGTTCCTTGTGTTGCAGAACCATTGTGGCACTGGTGTACAACGTGCTGAAAACCCTGATGGAAATGAATGGCAAGCTTTTCGATGAACTCACAAGCTCGTACAAGGCAGAAAGACAAAGGTATCGACCAGCGCTTCCAAACATGTGTCGATGAAAAGAAACAGAGCTTACGTGGTGTGCCTGGGGCAGTTCTGATGTGGAGCTGCCCAGCAGTGGGAGGTTGCAGCAGGCAGGGCTCAGCTTATGGAGCCCACCCTCTCCTAAGGGGTCAAACCAGGCCTGGCTGTTAGGGGCTGCCTAGTGCTGGGTCTGCTGCTCTTGGTGGGGTTTGGCTGAGAACAGCTGAGCTGGAGAATACTTCATAGCTCAGATTTCTCCCTCACCCTGGTGACCTGCTGTTGGAGTAGGGAGGTGGGGTGCAGGGTGTCCTAGGCCAGCTGGGGCAGCATGCTCTGTGTCCTGGCAGTAGCTGTGCTTCTCTCCCCCAAATATGTGTAGTCCCTTCATTTGTTTGGATGTAAAGAACCTCCTTAGGCTTGCAGTCGTCTGCGCAGAGCCACACTACAGCAGTTCGGTGGGTTTGCTGGAGCAAAGTTAGAGTTTTGCCACTAACAGTTACAGTTCATGCACTCATTTTTTAACAGAGGAAACAGTAATTGCCACTAAAAATAGCTTTGGAGAAAACCAGGAGGAATTATGGGCCTACAGGGATGCTGGAGAGGGACTCTTCATCAGGGACTGTAGCGATAGGACAAGGGGTGATGGGTTCAAACTGAAACAGGGCAAGTTCAGGTTAGATCTAAGGCTGAAGCTCTTCGCTGTGAGGGTGCTGAGGCGCTGGCACAGGATGCCCAGAGAAGCTGCGGCTTCCCCATCCCTGGCAGTGTTCAAGGCCACGTTGGATAGAGCCTTAGTAGACATGGTCAAGGGTGAGGGTTGCAACTGGATGGTGTTAAGGTCCTTTCCAACCCAAACCATTCTATGAGATGTGAATCTTGGGGTTTAAGTAGCTGTGTCTCCACATCGCACTTCAGACACATCTGAAACTGATCCCTTGCTCTTTGCAGAGAGAAAAAGAAAGAGTTGGAACGTGAAGAGCTTTGGAGAAAGCTGGAGGAGTTAAAGCTGAAGAAGGCGATGGCAGAGAAGCAGAACAGCTCCCACACCGTGCTCAACGCACACAGCACAAGTGCCAAGTAACAGAGCCGGGCGCCCCTGCTCGGCAGACACACACTTTTGTACCCTTTTGAGATACGTAAGGATTTGCAAGAGAAACCTCATCAGTATAACAGCAGCAGCCACTTTTATTTCCCTCTGGCAAACGTAAAGATCTGAGTTTCAATACAGCAGTTAAGTGATGTCGTACCACAGCATATTGTAAACCTGTCTGATTATCGGTATCCTGTCACCTCCAGCGTTTCCTAGGCCTGAATTAGCATCCTTTAATGAGTGAAATTCTTCCGGGAGTGGTGAGAATTATGACTTGAATTTCTGATTGTGTTGCACATAGGTGGTAGAGTTTGCTCTGTACACATTTTTCCTTGTTTTCTATGTGCTTTTCACATCACTGCATACTTTGGTTAAGACAATAGGAAAGGCTTCTAGTTGTGCTGTATTTTCTCAAATAAAACCAAGGTACGTTACCAGTAACTCGAGATACTCGGTATGTGCCCCTGGCAGCAGGAGCTGGGATACAGCGCTGTCCTTGCAGTCCTGACGGGATTTGGATCCAGATTTATCCAATGCTCATGTTAGAATGAGGCAATGTAAGGAGGGAAGGTCAACTACACCAGGTTCAGTGCTCTGTGTGTCTAAGCTCCCCATTCGTGAGTGCCTCCACCCTGGTTTTGCTGCCTCCTGGCCCTGGGCTACTTAGACATTTCCTCCTGCTACAGCTGAGGATGGAGCTTCCCCTAGAGCCCATCAATGATGCTCCTCATCAGCCCGAGGATGCCTGGCGGAGTGGTGCTCTGGGATGGGCTCTGCATTAGGTTTAACATCTCATGGACTGAAGAATGAGACCAAAATTGGGACTATTAATTCCGTCTTTAGTAAGGAGGGAGGGAAGGATGTCAATGAACAGTTCCTTGTGTTCTTTCAAGAAAATGCAGTCTGTTTCTTCCCAGTGGAAAGCTGACAATAGAAGTCTTGTCTGTTTACTTGATCAAGTATTTTTCACATCTTTTATCAGAGTACCATTCCAATCTCTTCAATTGCAGTTGTGTGGAAAACTTTTGTAATGAAAGACCTTTGGGGAATTGAGCAGCATTCAATAAAGTCTTTATGTTTGTATTTAGTGCTGTACATCATATCTCTGTGTTCATAAAGACCAGGAGAATTAGAAGGGCTTTTACAAAGCACCTTTTAACTACCCAAGTCTCTGAAGGATGTGTGGCAGGAGTGGTGGAGGGAGGTGAAGGCTGCTGGGTTTCAGGTGTGGTGAGTAGGGTGGCTTTGTTCTACTACAGTGAGTTGTTGCTCCTGTGTTTTGTCAGATGTCGTGGTTTAAACCCAGTCAGGTAATTTGTTCACTCACTCCCAGTGAGTGGTGCCGAGCTGACAACAATCGAGGTCCGTGTCCGTCTTCCCCCCCCGCCTCCCTGCACCGGGGCTCTCCCCTTCCCCGCTCCCGGAGGAACGGGGAGGAGGATCGAGAGAGTGCAACTCCTACGGGTTGAGACAAAAACAGTCCAGCACCAAATCACCACCGCTACTATCAACTACAACAATGATAAGGGAAAATAACAAGGGAAGAGAATATGATACCACCGGCCAAGAAAACGAGTTCCACCCGGAAGCCCGTGTCCTTCCAGGTAACTCCCAGTTACCCCTCACCCCGGGCATGACGTGCTGTGGTATGGAATACCTCCCTGGCTAGCCCGGGTCAGGCGCCCCATCTCTGCTTCCTCACAGCCTCCGCTCCTCCCTGGCAGAGCATGAGCCTCACAAAGTCCTTGGCCAAACCAAAATATCCTTGTTATCAGCTCTGTTCCCGAGCTGAAAGTCAAAACACTGCACTGCCCCAGTTAACCCAAAGGAAAAACATGACTGCTACTGCGGAACCCAGGACATCAGTGCACTGCCATGATTTGCTCTGGTAATCACCTGAAAGTAGTAGATTTTATGGAATCATAGCATCCCAGAGTGGTTTAGGGTTGGAAAGGGTCTTAAGGCTCATCAAGCCCCTTGCCATTGGCTGGGCCCCTTTCCATCCTGGCCCATTCAACCTGGCCCTGAACACTGCCAGGGATGGGGCAGCCACAGCCTCTCTGGGCACCCTGTGCCAGCGCCTCAGCACCCTCGCAGGAAAGAACTTCTTCCATAGAAGTCAAGAAGGAAAAAGGGGGATGCTTCTGGTATGGTTACTTCTACATTAATTACTCTGTTAGCAGCGGATGGAAGCAGCAGACTGTGACCTGGTGTGCTCCTTTTCTTGCATCAAAGCTTTTGGGGCAAACATACCATGGGGCACTGCTGCCCTGCAGCCGCCACACGTCTGAGCTGGGCATCCAGACTAATGAGGGACCTGTAAGGAAGCAGCAGCCCCCCTGCTAGCGTGGTGGGTGAGCACACGCTGCCTGGGTAGTGCAGGAGCACAGGCAAGTGCCAGGCTCCTGAAAGACTTCTTCACTTCCTCAACAAAGACTGGGGGTAAGAGGGAAGAGCAAATCCACCTCTGCCCAGATGCCCAAGTATGGAGCTGCTTGAGTTTCCTTCAAGCTGGACCCATGAGGAACAGGTTTTTTGTTCCTCACCTCATCCTTGTGCAGGATTGCTCCTGCCTGATCCAGCGGTGGGTGAAGTGGAAAGTGAGAGCGGGTGCTTCCAAAGAATGTACACAGCAATGTCTTGGAAGTATGGTTTAATATTAAAGTCACTCAAAATCCAAACCACCGTGTCATAGAATTCCAGTGTATTTTGTTACAATGCACACTTTGGGGAGGGGAGGACAGACTCCTGTTGGGTGCTTTACCTTCCGCTGCTCCTGGTCCCAGCAGTAACTGAGGGGAGCACCTGTGGAACCCAGCTCCTGCAGCACCTGAATGCTCACCGGTGCTGAGCAGCATTCAAACACTGCCCCTCTTCTGAAACCTCAGCCACTGGAGAGTTGATGTTCTCCCCATGGCTGAATTCTCTCCTCTACCCCAGGTCCCCCATAGCCTGAGGTACACTTGTTAAAGGAGAAGAAAAGCGTGAGTTGGTTAGACATGTCTGAGAGGGAAGCTCCTTTCTGAAGTCCAAGGCTGCTCGTCCAGCTGTGGCTTGTCTGGAAGCAAACATACATCCGTGTTCTCTGCCTGTCAGTGCTGACGGAAGCTTATTCCAGTTATTCTCTATCCCCTCTGCTGTGAGCAGTCCAAGGTCAGCCTGTGGAGGCTCAGTTTATGTGGTTCCTCGCTTGATGGCTCCTCTTCAGATGTCTCTTGCGGATTTTGATCATCCACTTGACACTTAACTTTGCAAAGTCTGCAGCCTTGAACAGAGCGAGGAAGATGCCGCAGAGGAGAGCAATCATGTTCCAGGGGTTTGCTGTGACAATCTGGAAGAGATTAATCAGTGTTGGGAGGGAGGGAGTGCTCTGTAGAGTGTCAAGGATTGCAGGCAGAGTCCTGCACTGTGCAGTCCTACTGAGCAACACAAGCCAGAGAAAGAGTGAACTACTGACTGTAAGTAATGAAAAAATAGATGAAGATGCAAGCTCTGGTGGGAGGTGGTGCACAACAATGTGATATTGTACTACAGAGTGGTGGGAGGTGCTGCACAAGAGTGTGACAATGGATAAATAAATAAATAAATAAATAAATAAATAAATAAATAAATAAATAAATAAATAAATAAATAAATGGATAAATAAATAAATAAATAAATAAATAAATAAATAAATAAATAAATAAATAAATAAATAAATAAATAAATAAATAAATAAATAAATAAATAAATAAATAAATGGAATAAATAAATAAATGGATAAATAAATGGATAAATAAATAAATAAATAAATAAATAAATAATGGATAAATAATGGATAAATAAATAAATAAATAAATATGATAAATAAATAAATAAATGGATGGATAAATAAATAAATAAATAAATAAATAAATAAATAAATAAATAAATAAATGGATGGATAAATAAATAAATAAATAAATAAATAAATAAATAAATAAATAAATAAATAAATAAATAAATAAATAAATAAATAAATAAATAAATAAATAAATAAATAAATAAATGGATAAATAAATAAATAAATAAATAAATAAATAAATAGATGGATGGATGGATGGATGGATGGATGGATGGATGGGTGGATGGGTGGGTGGGTGGGTGGGTGGGTGGGTGGGTGGGTGGCTGGGTGGGTGGTTGGTTGGGTGGGTGGGTGGGTGGTGGGTGGGTGGGTGGGTGGGTGGGTGGGTGGGTGGGTGGGTGGGTGGATGGATGGATGGATGGATGGATGGATCTTCCCTTTCTGATCCATGCATCCACAAACAACACAATTTCTGCCAAAACCCAAACACATCATCACCACTATTCTTTCACTCCTGCCTCTCCTCTCAGGCATTTCACTGCAACATAAATATGCCATCTCACTGCCACCTCTGTGTCGCTTTGTGGGGAGTGGGAGAAATCACCTCTCCTGTCCTTGTCAGGGGAATAACCTCTCCTGTTCTTCTTGGGACTGGGGAGAATCACCTATCCTGTCCTTCTCAGGGGAATAACCTGTCCTGTTCTTGAAGATTCCCACGCAGGTCATCGTGTTATGGACTCTGGTTGACAGTTGACAACTGGGGCCATTTAAAACACAATGTCTTTAGCAGGTTTCCTCTGCACACTTTGCCATTCTCTATGGGGAAGGCAAAGCATCTGACCTCACCCTCAAAACCAGGACAAGATGTAGCTCACGTACTTAAGGCACACACACCACATTCAGTACCAAATTCTAGTAACAAATACAGGCTAGACCAGGCCGCTGCTATTGTTCTGATGCAAGCCGATGTTTCTTGCTTGTCAATTGGTAACAATCATTATATCAGTTTATCCAAGCACACTTCTTTAAGCAAAAATGTTCAGGCTTGACCTGAAGCTACCCTTTGCTGTAAGACAGAGACATGCTTTTTTCTTAGCCACATGGACCTCCAGCTGCAAACAGAACACTGAGTATCCTCAAGCCAAGGAAAGGCATCAGATGGTCCTGACTTCTGTAGAACATGCATTACTGGATATAAGAAAGAGCCTCAATTCACATTTCAGCAGTAACCTCTCACTCTTCCTCTGAATGAGGCCCCAGAGGCCTGTGCCCACATAAACCATGAGCGTGGACACTCCGACAGAGGTTCAAGAAGGGACTTTAGAGTGTTACTCACATCTTGCACAGTCTGTATGAACGGATCTTTCCATTCAAATACTACAAAAAACAGCTGATCGCTTCTGGGTTTAGTTCCCTGGTCAATGTAGTTCACCACGCTGGTCTGGGCAGAGGGGAAAAGAGGAAACAAAGGTGCAGGTTACCTGATGCAGCGGTGCAATGAGTCTGCTGTGCAACAGAAAAGGCTTGGAAGAAGGTGAGAAGAGCAGACTGCTCTTCCGGTTTAGCCTTCCTCCACGTGGAACAGCAGGCTCCCAAAGTATGGGAACAGATGTTTCTTCCACCTCTTGGTCAAACTCTTTTCCTATTTCTCAGCACTGTAACTTACCACTGTAACTCTCAGAGCACATAGGAGCTTTACCACCTTCTGTTTTCTGGTCCAACCCCTTTGCTGCAGCTCTACCCTGTATTTCTACAGCTCATCACCTATTTCCTGAGGTGTTTCACAAAGCCACATCAAGAGCCAAAAACACCAAGACATTGAGGCTTTTACAGAACCTCTCCATGTTAAGAATGCAAGTAACTGTACAGCCAAACCTGCTCCCTGCTGCAAGGTGGAATGGATGCAGTGAAACAAAACCCAAGCTCCTGATGCTTCACTTAACCAGCCAACCCACCCTTCCTCCAACTCACACTGCTGTTTGCCCCAAGACCTGGTTCAGTTGGCCAGTTAGCATTGAAATCGTTGCAGTCACTAGTTCATAGCAAACTAAGATGTCCCAAAACACTCCTTCCGAGTGGTTGGCTGGGTTGGTTTTTTTACCTCTTGTTTGAATTCAACAGTCTCACTGCCATCTTCTTCTTTTGTTTTCACCAAGGACATCTTGACCCAAGTTCGAAAGCCTCCGGAAAACTTCCAGCTGGAATATGAACTTTCACAGTCCTTCATGAATTCTGCTTTTTCTGGACTAAAGGAAAAAGACCATTACTTCACTGGCCAAGCATGGGAGGTCCTGCTGCAGGCAGGAGAATGTCAGACCTACAGGCACTTCAAAGCATGTTCAAAACCCAATTGCTAAAACTCGGCATATCTAAACCACTGTGAGCAGTGATGTGATCCGTGACAGCACCTGCACTTGGGTTCTTAACTGCAGAAGAACGTGAGTTACCTCGTGCCCTATCATCCCCATGGGGTTCTGCCTCATCCCAGGGGTTGTTCTGCCTTATAGGGGGGTTCATTCTGCTCATCTCTGGGACAAAGAGCAGAGCCAAGACCCCAGGAACAACTCACCCCAATGCAATAGGTGGAAGGAGTTGCCTAGAGGCAGGGCAGGCTGCTTCCTCCCATTTCTGGGATGCAAATGAATGGGTGGCAATGCAGACATACTTAAAATACTTTGACATTTGTATTTGGTGTATTCCCATTATTTTGGTGTTATTTTTGCAATACCATGGCTGTTTTCCCAGTAGCCCCAGAACAGCAGGATTGCTTCGTGCCTTGTTTTTAAATACAGTGAGCATAAGGCATTTTAAGGCTTCCCTCATGCTGCAAGTGGCAAGGAGGTAGCTCCAAGGCATATCTGGTCTCCATCCTTCTCTATAAACTGCACAGGACACGGTGAATGACCCGTGCTGTTTACTTGGAGCTCCTCAGCACTGGGATTTCAGCCACTTTCACATCATCTCTATGAAGTAAGACTGGCCCTGCAGCTGCTTTTCCAAGAAGGTTTCATTTGAAATGAAGGGGAAAACCACTGCAATGAGTCATGAACCATTAGAGCACAGAGTTGAGCTTTACTTAACATGGATTTCAGGCTGCAGAGATATATCAGCGTGCTCAAGACACGGGAAAGGGCTTTGACTCAGAGTAAATCCATCTTCCTAGGGGAAGAGTATAATTTGCTTCTATGACAGAAGGTCACAGAATCACAGACAGGTCTGGGCTGGAAAGAACCTTAAGATCATCCAGTTACAACCCCCTCCCCATGGGCAGGGACACCTTCCACTCGAGCGGGTTGCTCCAAGCCCCTGTGTCCAACCTGGCCCTGAACACTGCCAGGGATGGGGCAGCCACAGCTTCTCTGGGCACCCTGTGCCAGTGCCTCAGCACCCTCACAGGGAAGAGCTTCTGCCTTAGATCTAACCTGAACTTGCCCTGTTTCAGTTTGAAGCCATCACCCCTTGTCCTGTCGCTGCAGCCCCTGATGAAGAGTCCCTCTCCAGAATCCTTGTAGCCCCCTTTGGACATTGGAAGCTGCTCTGAGGTCTCCACACAGCTTCTCTTCTCCAGGCTGAACATCCTCAACGTTCTCAGCCTGTCTCCATGTGGGAAGTGCTGCAGCCCCTGAGCAACCTCGTGGCCTCCTCTGGACTTGCTCCAACAGCTCCATGTCCTTCTTATGCTGAGGACACCAGCACTGCACACAGTGCTACAAGTGGGGTCTCACCAGGTGCATGACTGGGTCTGCTGGGAAATCAAAGCATTTTGGTCTTTCAGGGGAAAGATGGAAAGATGAAGAAAAGCCGAGCTAAAGCAGCAAGCTCTTGTCCCAGAGAACAGATCTGTCCTGTCCTAGCACTGACTGGATTTTTACATCTCCGAGTTGTGTGTTTGAAGGCCTGGCTGCAGAGCAATGGCTTTGCTAGATTTTGCCTTCCTATGAACGTGTGCGTGTTCATCTATTCAGCCCGAGCAGAATACCCATCAGCATGTATTCTTTTTATCAGTGTGCACTATTGCTGCCTTGCAGACAAGGCATCTTGGTTTGCAGGAACAAACGGAACCCTGATCCCGGAAACTAAGGAAAAAGAAAAAAGACAGGAGACGTAAAAATTCTGCATACAAACAGAAAGGAGAAGAGTTCCTGGAAAGAAAAACTAAGACGCTTTGCCCATCAAGGCAGATGATATCCCAAGAGTGACTGTCCAAGTCAGCACTGTCTTTATATCTTTGTAACATTAGGTGCTTGTTTAGTGATCCCAACAGGATGGCAGGGCACCACAAGAAAGACATGGGCAAAGCTAAAGTGAAAGCCCACTGCTCCTCACCATGCAAACCAATGACACAGGAAGATCTAATGTGACACTGATTTCTTCCCCCTGGGCTACGTGTATGGGTACAGCAGCAGCTGATGGGACAGAAGGAAGAGCAAAGCTTTGCCACTCAGGGGAACATACAGAATTAGCACCCTGCCAGCCAGTCATATGCCTAATGCCTGACTAAATACAGCACCCTAGAAAAGCTTTCCAAACCAACATGGAAAATTGAGGCAGGAAGTTACAACACAGAGCTGAAGGTTACAGCCACAACTTCAATGGTAGGCAGACAGCAGCAGTATACTTTGCCTTCAACTGTAATTGTAGGCTTGAAAAAGAAAGATTAATAATATCTTAGGAGAAGCTGTGGAGGAATGATCTCAGATGGGATCTCTTTACGAGTGCCCATAATCCAGACCACTGCCACAGAGTCAAAAGAGAGGCAAAAGCTTTGCATAAGTGATAGCAGAGGGCAAATAACACAGCTTAAACCCCAGACACATTAAATGAACACGATATAGGCACTTTAACCTGAAGATCAACTCTCCAGGCAGCTTCTTTTTACTCCTTTGCCCCAAAGACAACCTGCAGAGGCTGCACGTTTGTTTGTTGCGTTCAGTAAGTTCTCTCTTACGTGATCCTTTACATGAACGGAATACCCTGCACCAGGCTTCCCTGGGGCATTAACTGCACCTCAAAACCATGCCAGAATTCCCACATCATAGCAGGGAAAGGGACATGCACAAGGCCACTGCCTCACTCAGCCTACGCTCCCTGGTAACCACTGCCCATCGCGGACCGGTAACATCAGACCATGACAGATGGGATCTGTCCCAAAGGTGGAAGTCACCATCCCAGTTCTGGACTGGGGTGTAGCGCTGCAGTGCATCTTTCTCACACCAATCTCTATGGACCAACCCGCGGGAGGCAGAGGCAGCTTAGGACACCCCACCAGCAGATTCCAAAGCACCAGCAAGAGCTAAACCCACAGACGGGTCAAATCCAGTTTGTGTTTATTGCCTTTGCTTTTCCCTAGGCTGAGAAGCCCTCAGCCAGCCATGGGGTCTAATGTAGGTTCTGATGGTACAGGACCAAAAGTTTTGGCCCTTCTATATTGTAACTTATTTCTCTGCACACAGCAATCCAGACCACAGACATGAACACAGAGCTTTGTTTCAACCCTTAAATAATCTCTGATCTGTTCAGACTGGTATTCACCATTTTACATGACCACAAGTTATTTTACAGGCTGTGCTAACAATAGTTTTGTCAGTAATGCGCTCAGAGAATTTTCCTCTTAAACCCATGCATTATACTAATGACAGTTCAGAAAAGGAACTTGTATTTTTAGCTACACTTTTAAGGGTTTCATTATTTCCTTCCCTCCAATTAATATGGTAAAGACAAGAGCTGCTGCTGGCTTAAAAACAGAAAGGAGAAGAAAGAAGCCAGTGGCTATATCCCTCCAACTCACAGGCCAACAATAGCACACAGTTCAGTGGTGTTCTGTGAAGGCCAGAACAAAACTAGCAGGCAGTGCCAGATTCACTGTAGTCTGTCCATCCAATTCTAACAGAAGACAATAAAACCCTTGACAGAAACAACTGGACCTTACTTGAGCCCTCATCGCTTGCTGTGCTTCAGAAAACAAAGATACAAATCTCTAGATGCCGTTTTTATTACTGCTTATGGCTGATGCTTGCAGCAGCCTTCACTCATGTGATTATTGCTATATAAAGCAAAGCAAGCTGCATGTAGTATTGTCTACACACACTGTGGTGTAGGTACAGCAAGACTCTTCTCACCAGTTTCAAGGGGGTTTGTATTGTGATTTAAGATGATGGAATCCCTGCACATATATTTCACAGCAGTCTGCCTGTCCAGCCCAACCTAAGTCCTTTGCAGCCCTGGCAAAAAGCTGTCGTGATGATAACGCAGGAGTTTTATAGCATGTATCTCAGCATCTTTAATAGCACTTTACATGAATTGCTGCACACAGTGCTAAGAATATTCTCACATAACCAGTGAGTGAGACACCTGCTCTGGAAAAAGTAGTCAACAGTAGCCAGTAACTGAAGTTTTCAAGGCAGTATGGAAGGACACACAACAGCTCCTACATGCATCTTAGACTTCCCTTCAACTAAATTTAGCATCCGCTGATGAACCAGAAATCATTTCTATTTTCTCTTCTGCTAGAAGCTGGACAGGATGAGTACATTCCACTTATGCATCTGGTTTCAATTCAGAGTCAGGAGTAAAGGCAAACTTTCAACCTGCCCTGCGCCTGTCCAGCTCCTGCCCTGGGATGCCACTCAGCAATATCCAATACTGAGCAAGAAAAGCCACACAATTTGCACCAAGATTTGAAGGATGCTATAAAAGAGACCCTGCTGGCCTCCTGTGCACAACTGGTTCTCTTAACTGCATTTCACCTAGACATACAGAGCATTTACCACTAGGTTTAAAGGCCTACGTACCTTTGCTCAGTTTACCATTATCTGGGTCAGTTCAAAACCAGTTTCAACTCACATTCCTAACGCTTGCTACAAACAGGCACAAAGGATGTATCCTCAAACAGGCACCACCATTTCCTTCTCCCAGGCAGCTTACAGACAGCTCTTACCAATTCACCTACACTGGCATAAACACAGTCTTGAAGCTAGGACTTTGCTGGACTGCTTACTGCTGTTTTGCATGTCCATCCTGTCTGTGCAGAACATGTGGCACAAGTGTTTGGGACAGCAGCATGCAGACTTGCAGCTTGCTTGCAGAAATACTGCCAGCTTAAATAGGACATACATGTTTTAACTTGGGAAGAAGCAGCTCTTTAAAATGGCTTAGGTGCAAACTGATACAATGAGCACAGAAACAGGGCTTCCAAGACTTGGTTGTATGCACAGACCAAGCTGGGTCTTGGCAAGCTGACTCATTCTGCAAAGAGCCAAAGAACCAGATGCAACACAACTGTGCCTTCTGTTCTGTGTTTCATGGGGTTGTGTCTCAGTGCTTGCGTCCTGCAGTATAGAAAGAGCTGTGCATCTAGCCATACATACCACTAACTGCAGCACAGGCCACAAAAACTGAGAAAAAACAACACAAGAAGAACAGGTCGCACCTTTTACATCACTACTCTTAACTGGTATTTTTTCACCCTAAAACATCAATGCTTAAAATACCTGGAACATTAGCATTATATAAGGTGGTTTAGTACAGTAATAGAAAGTATTTAATGACTTAAGAGCTCTCCTTCACTGAAATAAGAATGCCTTGTAAAAAGCAAATTCATATAATTGGTCTCTGGCCACCCAGAGCTACTGTGACTGAACACTTCCAGTCTTTGCTCCATCTGAAACGCACCAGTACCATCATGTCCAAGACTCCAAAAACGCTTTTTTTACATTAAAATCTGCTAGTTCTCTTCCTCTCCTCACCTGATTCTGTTCTGCTTATGGCCTTTATTCCCTGTCCCTTTTTCACTGACCATCTGAATACTACCAAGTTAAGGCTTTCTATTAGGTCTCACTGTGACTAACATCTTGACTAGCTTTTAATCTGCATTACAGAGAGAACAGCCCTTAACTATTTAATTTTTGCTTTAATTTAAATTCAAGTATGAAACTGACTCTCACAAAGCGTGTAAAAAGTGTGGGGCTTTCAAGAAAGGTCAAGACGGGATTTGAGTGGAGACCTCAGAGCAGCTTCCAGTGTCTGAAGGGGGCTACAAGGATGCTGGAGAGGGACTCTTCATCAGGGACTGCAGCGACAGGACAAGGGGTGATGGGTTCAAACTGAAACAGGGCAAGTTCAGGTTAGATCTAAGGCAGAAGTTCTTCCCTGTGAAAGTGGTGAGACTTGGAGAGCCTTGGGTGACAGCGTTTAGTGTGTGGTGCCCCTGCCCATGGCAGAGGGTTGGAACTGGGTGATCTTAGGTTGCTTTCCAACCCAAACTACTGTATGATTCTCTGATTCCACTCCTGCTAAAATAAGAAGATGGATCTGTCACTCCCATGGCATCAATGCCAAACCAATAAAAAGCAAATCTGAAACCACACCTATGCAATTATCACATTCTGTAGAATCTTACAAAAACCTTGTAACACAGAACAATACAGCCAAGCTTCCAGAGAAGTCACAACAAATCCATCTAGGGATCTGATCTCTCTCTGATTTCAGCTAAAAAGGCCCTGCTTTTACTAGTTTTGTTGCAGCTAGTTTAATGCAGTTAACAGGCTCAGCCCTTCACATACCTGTTGATGAACTCTTCGAAAGAAGAGAACAGAAGGTAGTCAATGGCACTAAAATCCTGGTCTGTTCCATTTAAATGAAACTGCAAAAACACCAGTTCCTTTTTCTTCACATCACGAGGGCCTTGAACAACCAAAGCATACTTCTGTAAGCAAACAGAGAGGTGGTGAGAGTACCAAAGGAATCCTCATGTCCTGTTCATGAATTTGCCATCTGTCACTAATACTGTATCGAAATCTAATACACATTGAGATTTTCTTGGCTGCTACTAAGTATGCCCCTACTACAACGCTTAAGAATGCCAGTTGGATCCCTCCTTTCAGTTTAAGGATAAAGCCTTTACATCACCATTTAGTGTTTTCCTAAGAAATCAGCTTTAGTTTGTATCAGAGTCCTTTGAATTCATGTGGAACCTGCATTCTGCAGGACAATCCAAGCTGTTTTGAGCAGTAAAGTCTACAGACTTTCAGCTCTTGACATGAAACAAGTCAATGTGGAGTCTAGTGTTGAGAAGAACATCAGGCTTCTGATGTGAAATGGAGGAACAGTTTCGCAGCCCCAGCACCTCAAGTAAGCTGCCAAAAGGAAAAAAAAACACCACAACAAATGCTGGCAGGCAAAATACAACTTAATGTAGTGCAGGCATCATATCAAACAGCAAGCTGCTGCTTGCAAAAGGACTTAAGACAGTGTGAACAGGACTCTACGTGGTTCAGAGGTCTCTGCCTCCAGTGTCTCTCCATTCCTCTGCAGGACTAGAGCTTATTGGATGAGCAAGCTCCTACATGAACGTACCACACAGCACAAAATGCAGGTCCTTCATTTGCTAAAACATGCAAAAAGAGCATGTGAGTGGCAGAAATTAGACTTGCACCTAGAGTATTACTTTCACATACACTAAGGAGCCGCTTCCCTTAAGAAAGAAACAGTGACTAGACAAAAGGCAAAACATGAAGAGGAAATAGCTGACTAAATGGGTACCTACAGAGTTTGCTTGTTCACACTTAGTTGCCTTCAAAAAAACCTGAGCAATTAATTTAGAAATGCATATTTAAGACTTCATTTTTTTCAGCATTTATTTATACAGAAGCTAGACTGCATTTTTAAGGGCGCTTTAAGACAGGCTGTCACTCAGTGTACCCATTTTATTGGCTCACGGCATTTCAGTGTAATGAAACGCTTGGTGCCCAGTTACAATTCTTCCAAATGTGACAAAAATAGTGCCTAATTCCCAGCAAACATACAAAAAGAGATAAGCTCTCCCGCTTTAAGAGAACAACTGCTCCTGCTTTCAGTCAAAGCCAGATTTACTATATCAAGGAGCATGCTTGGCTGTTCATTTAGGAGAGGAATGAAGCAAGAGTTTCATTGTGAAAAATGACTTATTTTGTCCCATTCAGGCTTTCATGCTGCACACCCCCACTGACAGCTGATGTTCCATAACACACACACTGACTGAGGTCTTTTACATTTCTGAGAACAAAAGGACAGATGGCTTGAAAAAAAAGAAATAGAAGCAAGGATTTTTTGCAGCACTCAGTAAGTATTTTTACTTCCAAATATCATTAGGAGCAGAACACCCTCCCTCTCCCCCAAATGAGCTTTGTTGTATTGTATTATTATTATTACCATAGATTGATTAGTAAAAGGATCTGTGTAGTTGATTCTCCGAGTGGTGCAGTCAATGTCTCCTGGCTGACCTGGATTAATCAGAGGTGGAATGTGATCATAGTAATGATGCTTGCAGCTCAGCAGCTGAGCCTTGCCTGGATAAAAGGCAATACCTGTTTGGGGAGAGAAAGAAAAACATTCATATATACCATAAACCTACTACTTCAGACCCAAGTCTGCACACTTTAAGAACCTCAGTCACCTCAGCTGTAGAAGGCTAGCAAAACACAAGGCCCAAAACCAAAACTCCTTTTACACCACGTATGTCACATTTATTATTGGAAACAAGCTTGCCTGAAGATAATCTAGACCAACTACCAAAAAACCCCTGTGATTTGAAGTATTAGATGATTAACCCACCCAACCGAGGTGACCTGTCCGGCAGGGACCCCCGACAATACTTTTTGGATTTATATGCATGTTGCTCTATTGCCTTAAGTGACATTTGCTTCCCATTGCTGTATGAAAACCTCATATGAGGAAAAATCTAAAGGGGAAGTGGTGGCGACCCTGCTCTTACAGTTAGATCCTCATGGTCCGAATGCTGGATCTATTTACAGAGCTGAGCCTAACTGACTATATAGAAAAACAACTACAGGAATATGGCAACAACTCGAAACACCTTTCAGCCACAATTACACGTGTAAAATGCGGTATCACTTCAAATGAATGTAATTTTTAAACTGGAAACTGCCCTACGACTGTTTGAGCTGCACTTGCTACCACAGTAGCTACCACAGTAGCTCTATTTATGAATGGTTACTGGATAATTTAAAAAGATAATAACAACAGATAGCATTATTCCCAAATGCTTCAGTGGCGTAATCCCTCCTGCGAGCTGCAACCCAGTTTTCTGATGCCACACTGCATTTTGATGCCAACATTGTTCCCTGCAGTCACATCCCACTTGCACTGCCTACTGACGTAATACCAAGTTGTAAACAATGCACAACAGAAGCAGAAAGTGGCACTGTGGTTGTTTTGGGGTTGGTTTGAGAAATTCACCTTCTTTACTGTCAACAGCATCTCACTGTCCAGTGCAGCACCAAGTCCTGATACACGTCCTATGTGCTACCCTGTTTGAACAATAGAAGTCTGGGACTATTTCCATAAGGAATTACCTCCTTTCTCTAAAAGAAGACAAATTCTAGAGTCTGCAAACACTTTTTATCTATGAAATGTTGCCTAACACTCCACCCCAAAGAAGCAGTAAATGCTCTATCCCTGGCAGTGTTCAAGGTCACACTAGAAAGAGCCTTGGGCAACCTGGTCTAGTGTGAGGTGTCCCTGCCCATGGCAAGGGGTTGGAACTGGATGATCTTAAGGTCCTTTCCAAGCCAAGCCATTCTACGATTCTATGAAAGCTCCCAAAATCTCCCATACAATATTAACATTTCAGTGCAAAGTCAACACAACAGAGATTAAAAAACACAGGGAAGTGAAAGACCTGGGTCAAAGCATTAGAACCACTCTGGAGAATCAACACCAAATATTTAAAGCCATCTAAGATAAATGTGAACACCGACTTAACCCATTTAGTTTGTTACCACTCTTACCAGGTGCATCATACAAGGACACTTCCTTGTAAGAGACAGACATCACTGGATGCTTGAGCTTCTCCCTGAAGTCACTGATGGTTTGGTAGACAAGGAACACAGCTACAGCCATGAGCAGCAGATAAATAAACAGGAGAATTACTGAAAAAACATTCTTTAGGCAGGTCTTGCTGAAACGCAAAGAAGGGGCAGTGGTGCCCAGTTCACTATCTGGAACCAAACAGAATATGGATTAGGGCTTCAAAATACAGATACATGGGCTCAGTTTGTGAAGCATGAATTTAGAGATCAATCACACAAGGAAAGTAACCCTCAAAATTGGCTTGATTTAAAAAAAAAACCCTACAACTATTACTGGTTTTGATGATGAGACAGACGCTTCTTTCTCAAGCATGAGCTATAGTCATCCACAGATTGTGCCTCTTTTTCACTAGCTGAATTTGGCACTGTGCTTCAGGACACGGCAGGCAGGAAACAAGGGTTGTTTTCAAGAAGGACAACTCAGAAGCAAAGTTCAAAGTTTGTAAGGGGAAAAAAAATGTCTGTTGATAATCAATCTTTCCTCCTAGAAAAAGTAACTCCTTTTTCCCCCTCCCAGTCTGAAGTGTCTCTTACACATGCAGTATACGCATCAACAGAGAGATTTAATATTGCAGTGCTATACCCACAGCTATGTGCACTGCATCCCCACCACAGAAGTCACTAGATATTTGTTACCCTCTAGTTCATAAGCTGTGTGTACTGCAGAAGTTTCACAGTCTCCTTGCCCTCCAAGCTTATTCTCTGAAGATCTTCACATTAGTTTCACTTCAACACAGACACTGCTTTCCCCATCCTCCTTGCATTCACTGTTTCTTTTGCCAACACTTTTAAGGAAAATGCTCATGTGCTCCTGATTTACACACCATGTTTTGACCGTAAACATTAAAACATATAAAAGGAGATAAGTAGGCATATTTTATGCTGGCTCTTCTGTGTAGTGTAATTTAATGAGTCAGGCCCTGCCACATTCTGCCCTTCAACTGTAATAGCATGGTTTGGTGTTTGTTCTTTACCACAGCAAACACCAACCTTTTAGTAAATCCTACTGAACACATAACCTCTTACCATAGTCACATATGAATTCCCAAGAGATCACAGCCAAGGAAATTAGGACACTAATATGCAAAAAATTGCACTTTGGAAACAAGTATGTCTTGAGCAGCTGTAAAGCATTTAGACAATACTCACCTCAGCTTGCTTTATCTTAATGCCTACACCTGAGCGGCAATCAGCCCACTTAGCACTGTCCTCACCCTCCAAAGCAGGTCTGAACAGTCTAACTAAAATCTGTGTAAAAGCACATCTGTTCAATATCACATCTTGCTCACGTGAACCTGGCACAGACTCTACTTGCAATCCACTGCAACTCAGGAAAGATACAGCATAAAGGAAGAAGACCTACCGAGCTAGCTCAGAACCAGATATGCTCAGTCTTCTTTGACTGAGCACAGTTCATGATGGAGAAATGTTCTCATCTCAATCTTTGGAAAGCTCCTGGGCTTATTCCACAAATAAGTAATTTAGCAGTTTATTCCCCCAAATAAGTATTTTAGTGGCTTGTTTGCTTTCAGAAGTGCAATAAAAAAGATAAATACAACAAACCACAACCAAATCCATACACAGAAGCAGCTTATCAGGCACTTAAAATGGGTAATTTCTGACTCAGTAGATCTCACCTGGTAGAATAACAGAGCTGGCATCTTCATGCACTTCCATCTCTCCTTCTCTCTCATCTGTTGGGTTTTCAGACGCTCGCTCCACATCTTCACTCAGCTGTGTAGTTAAAACAGTGGTTCAATTTCCAAACATGCTCTCAACTCGTAATTGCTGGAATTTCTATGGTACAAATAAAAGAGGCTCCAACTAACCAAACACACAAGAACACGCCCCCAGTTCAAGAGCACCCAACATCTGCTCCACTTGTGAACTAGAGCCACATTTACGTAGACCTACAGCTAAAAATTAAGTGACCTGCTGCAAAAAGAGAACCGGCACATTAAATTTAACCTACTTCTACCCTGCCACTTCACCAATAACATCACCATTTCTTTCAAGATCAAAGCAATTGTTTCCCTGGCAGCTTCAGCTCACTTTAAACCCCCAATTAGGACAATGTCCTCTGAAATAAGCAGGAACTTCATCACTCAACAATGTAGTTTTAGGCATAGACAAACCACAGCACATACCAGCACACAAAGCATTAGCACATCTTAGGAAAGAGATGCAAAAAGAGCGAGTTGCATTTTGACAGGTATTAGGACAAGCAACTCAAATGCAGCCTCAGCCACATAGGTAGTGGGTCATTACAAGACAACAGTCGAACATCTCTACATTTCTGGTCCTTAGTTGAGCTCACTATACATATTATTAAATATTAGTGGTTATGCAACTAACTATTCTTACACTCCTTCCAAACCCAGATGTTTTCTTGTTTTGCTATTCAGATTTCTGAGCCCAAACTGCCAAGACGCTGCTGCCAAATGCAGCGGCTTGTCACATCAGAGAGGCACCACAGGAGATCGTGAAGCATTAGACTTTATATATATATATGAAGTATCTCCTGTATGTTTTCCAAATCTCTTTTGTGGCATGGACTGACAAACAAGTTACAGCAAGGCAAACCTTCCACATCGTGTGGTGCACAGTAACTGTCCAAGATGTTTAGACTTGGATTTAGACTCAGCATCACCTACATCACTAGATAAGAAAGATTAGCTTTATTCCCACTTCAAGGAAAACGGGGGCACAGTTGATGCAGCAGCCACACCGACTGCTATTAAACCTCACACCCCCAACTTACTCAACAGTAACGCACGTGTATCCATAAGGAAGTGCTTTTATTTCACCCAACTTCAATTCAGTATTGAAACCATCATTATACCATTAACAAACCATCATTTGCACTTATTAGGAAAGAGTCCACTCCTTTTACGTCTTCGCAGTCTGATGTAAAGTCTCCATCACCTCCTGCTGGATTCCTGTGTTGATTTCCACCATGCAAAGCAAGTTGAAAGCAGTTACCCAGTTGTTTTTAAATGCTTTGTACATAAATAAGGCATGGTTTCCCATGGTGTGAAGCATGGAGCAAACAGGTAGCTAATAGGCTAAACTCATCTCACTTGCAGGACACTCAGTAGGGTCCAGTAGAAGATATTTTATGGAGATAAGTAAAAAAAGTAAGGAAAAATTAACATCCTGCTCCTTTCTGCAGAAACACACAAACCAGTTCTATTTGTTTACCTGACCCAAAATAAGCTATTCTGACACAAGAAGAATGATTCCTGAACCTCCTGTACTGGTTAGACTGAATCAGCAGACAAAGCAGTTCAAATTACACTCATGCAAATCCCTTACACACAGCTGATCCAAAAGGTTTGTAACATCAGTTATAAAGTCACTGCTGTTTCTCAGCTGACTCCACCACCTCTCTGGTTCAGTCACAGTTCCCAATGCACAGGCACCTCATCAACTGAGGGTATGTAGAGGATAAGTGAGTTCTGCTCAGGACAACAAGGAGATCCCAGCACCTGTTCAAACACCACAATGTGCCACATCTCTTATCCTCTTCAAGACACAGAACAAAAACTCAGAAAAGCTAACCTTTCAGTATTCATTAGAAACGAACCAAAACCCTAAACAACATGCAACTATGGTTTCTTATCTCTCTTCACAGGGCAGACATGGTTTCATAAGCTTTTCGCACATAAAGCCAGGGGAAGAAAGCTGGTCAAAAGCAGGAGTGCCAACATTGCCTGATTCACAGTGAGGAGGTTCAGCTGATGTGTAAGACCTCTAAAACCAACTAATGCCACTGCAAACACTGAACACCTGACTTGACAAGAAGTTGCACAAACCGGCTGAGGCCACCAGGAGCCTAGTGCTGCTCCTGGCTCAGCTACCATGTTCTAAGCAAACAGATGCCATAAGGCACACAGCAGCACAGACCTACAAACCTAATAGCTCACAGGCACACTCAGCTACAACCTCATAGCGACAGGAAGCACAGCGTGACAGGTTCTTCACACTTCACACAGAATCCCCACATCAAGGCAAAGAACATCAGTGAAGCTGGTATATGCCAGCAGTGCTCACCCTCACAGGCTAGCTCTTCCCACATCCTACTTTTGGCAAAGAGGTGAAGCATGGTGCAGAAGGAACACAAACTTGCAGGATAGTTAAACTTGCAATAGGATGCAGATATGATAGGATGTCAAGAGCAGGAAGGGCATGGAACAGACCTTTGTTCAGCATTCCTCTGGGCTCAGCACTTACAGCTGAGGAACAAAAGCAGGAGCCTGCCTGTGACCTGGCAGCTCCTTTTCATGGCTGCACATAGAAAAGCACTGAACAAAGAGAAGATCAGAAAAGGCAATTCCAGACATTTGAGCATCCCTGCTAGGGACAGGAGCATCACAGACTGGCCCAGATGCTGGAGAAAGGATGGAAACACAGCCACTGCACTTATACAGCATCTAGACTCGCGGAATAGCATCTGGGACAATCCCTAACATATGGAGCAGTGTCTGTCCTGGCTGATACACATGGTAGAAGTGTAGCATGCATAGCCACACTTTAGGCATCACCGTGACTTCATTAACCCTCTCAAGTACCTTCCCTACATGCAAGCTCTTACGTGAGTTAATTTCATCCTGATAACCATGGATAAAACCATCCTTCTGGATAAAATTCTTAAATAAAAGAACTTGTCCATACAGGTTTTTTGCTGCTCCACTGATACATCACCTTCCAATGCCTTCTAGCCTGGCACAAAGACCGGAAGATGAAACTAAACAGACACTACTAAATTAAAAAAAGAACAAGGGGTGATGGGTTCAAACTGAAACAGGGCAAGTTCAGGTTAGATCTGAGGCAGAAGCTCTTCCCTGTGAGGGTGCTGAGGCGCTGGCACAGGGTGTCCAGAGAAGCTGTGGCTGCCCCATCCCTGGCAGTGCTCAAGGCCAGGTTGGACACAGGGGCTTGGAGCAACCTGCTCTAGCGGAAGGGGTCCCTGCCCGTGGCAGGGGTTGGAACTGGAGGAGCTTTAGGGTCACTTCAACCCAAACTATTCTGTGATTCCATGATTCTATATTAAAACAGAGCCCCAGACCATCCATCACATGCAGAGGAAGGCAAACATCTGCACTCGTTTCGCCTTCAAGATGCAAACAAAAGCGCTCTGCTGCAAGTCTCTATCGCTACGGAACTTGGCACCAACAGCTCGTATCCCTAGCACGAGCGATAGGAACGAGCCCGTACATTGATATGCAAACCACGGGCTGCCTCGGGCTCAGGAGGATAATGCGGCTTCAGTGGCGTGTGCGACAGCTCCGGTACCAAAGCGCTTCTCACGCCCGACAGACGCCCTCCTGGCCATGGAAACCCCAGCGAGGGAGCTCACCGGCCGCTGTACCCAGCTCATGCTCTTAGAGAGCCGCTGCCTGTCGTTTTAACCACGCTGAAGGCTAAAACATGACAACGAGCGTACCCGGAGCACCCGCCTCTTTCTGCGAGTGCCGGTGCAGTCACTGGGACTGCACCAGCCGGGGGACGGCACATCCCTCACCGCCCGAGCCCACAGCGACAGCGTTCGGCAAGCCCTGGGTAGGGTACTGCTGCCCAGAGGGGCTGCCCCGGCCCATCCCGTCGGGTCACCGGCCGCTCGCCCTGCCCCGGCACCTCGTACCTCCTGGTAGGATGCGGAGATCTCGGGTCTCAGCATGGCATCGCCGGGTCGCGGCGGCAGCGCGGCCAGGCCGGGCCGGGCCGGACCATGCCACGCCAGGCCGAGCCGAGCCGAGCCGCCCGGGCAGGGCCACGCAGGCGCCCGGACCCACCGCCCGCTCTCCGGCTGCTTCCCGCCCCGCGGCCTCGGCCTCGGCTCAGCGCCGCGGGAGCTGCTGGGAGGTGTAGTCCAACCGCGTTGATGGCCGCCGAACTCTGCGGAGGGCCGGGCCATTCCTGCCCAGCTCCCTCGCCTTAGGCAGCGCAGAGCCGCCCAGTGCAGCGCGAGTGCTCCTCACCCGAGTAACCGGGGTTTGCAGGGTTTATAGTGAACGCTGTGAGACCCCCCCCCCCCGCAGCCCTGATCCAGCTCCGGGGCAACAGCACAAGAGGGATGTGGAGCTGCTGGAGCGAGCCCAGAGGAGGCCACGGAGATGCTGCGAGGGCTGGAGCAGCTCTGCTCTGGAGCCAGGCTGAGAGAGCTGGGCTGGGGCAGCCTGGAGAAGAGAAGGCTCCTGAAGGGGCGAACTTAGAGCAGCTCCAGTGCCTAAAGGGGCTGCAGGAAACCTGGAGAGGGGCTTGGGACAAGGGCCTGTAGGGACAGGCCAAGGGGAATGGCTTTAACCTGCCAGAGGGGAGACTGAGATGAGCTCTTAGGCAGAAGCTCTTCCCTGTGAGGGTGCTGAGGCGCTGGCACAGGGTGCCCAGAGAAGCTGTGGCTGCCCCATCCCTGGCAGTGTTCAAGGCCAGGTTGGACAGAGAGGCTTGGCGCAAACCGCTCTAGTGGAAGGTGTCCCTGCCCGTGCCAAGGATTGGAACTGGATGAGCTTTAAGGTCCCTTCCAACCCAAATCAGGCTGTGATTTTCTCTGCTGAGGACACGGAAGTGCACTCTGTGGTGACAGGGAAATGAGTCTCCACACCACACACTTCACAACATGAATTGTCCTATGCAAGAATGAACTCGATGGAAAAAGCCATTTAAACCCTTCCTGCCAGCTCTCCCCAGGATGCACACAATTCATGGTTTTGTTAGTTTTTCACTGCTCAGGGCTGTTTGCAGAACACCAAACCAACGGACACACCTGGCAAGCAGACAGAGCTTCTGCAGGGCTCCTGTGAAGCCTCAACTGTGCTACACTAGCCCAGCAGTGGCAGCAATGGGGTGCTCTGTGAAGATAAAAGCCAAAACCACATGTGAGCTGACTCATGGGCCACCGATCCACAAATACCTACACAGCTATTTTTCCTTCCCAGCACAGAAGTAATTGGCAATGTTTCATCACTGGGAAAAGTATGCACAACATTTCTTGCATTGAGACACAACACTGTAGAGGAGCTGCTCAGACCTTTTCCCTATGCCTAAGACCCACACCTCTAAGTTAATAACTAAGGTTTGAAGTCTTTTGACAACAGCAATGCTAATATACAGCTTCTCCTTTCAGAAGGAAAACGTTTTAGTTCTTGTTACTTGATTTTCAGATGTCAGTGGTTCAAAGGCAGGCTGTAACTGAGCCCCAAATCACTAACACCTCAGGCAGCTGTTGGTTAGTATTCAGCACCTGCACTAATAATTATTACAGAATACAAGGTAAATCTATAATGTGATTGAACCAAACCGACGAATTGGACTTTGCCTCTTTCCCAGCAGTACGGGGCTCTGTGGAATGCCACAGAGGGGATTGGCAGGCAGAGCAACAAGGCAAATCCAGAGCTCTGCATGTAATGGGAGCATTCATGAACTGTTTGGTCCAAAGGCTTCAAGGTCCTTTTTCTGCCTTGTAGTGTGTGGAGTCAGCACATGGATGTGATGGACAGCCAGGATGAGAAGCCCGTTGTGAAGCCCAGGTGTTTAGGCAATGTAGGCAAACTTTGTTGCTTAAGGAGAATCACAGGAACAACCACATAGGAGCAACACTTGGCTTGTAACACCAGCTTCAGCCTGCGGCAGTTGGCTCCCTCATGGAGCTGCCTGGTTCCGCAGGCTTGGCCTGGCTCCTCATGTGGGGATGTGCCCCGGTGGTCGTCATCCCCATACTGTGGTGACGTGTCCTCACTGTCCTGGAATTCTCATCTTGAGCTGCTTTTGTCATCCAGAGGAGAACGATGGAGATGTTGCTCTGATTAGCTACTTCAGCTCTGCTTGCCTGTGGACAGCCTGTGGGTGTTAGCTCACGCAGCATGGAACAGGTTTCCTCTGAGGCAGACACAGGGATTTTATACAAGCACAGTTTATAAACAGTCCTCAAAACAAGGATGTTTCTATCTCCTGTTTGTTGTCCAGGTCCTTTGAACTGTTCATCTTTCACAAAACATTGTACATGGAGCAGAGGTACCAAACAGGGATTTGGATTACAGCCCAGTAGTCGGGAAGATGGGATGCCACGGCATTACACATCCAGGCTGTAAATCCTTCAAGTCTTCACTTGCCAGCAGTACAGTGAGGGATGTGATACATGTATCTAAATTGTAAAAAGCATCTCATTTCCTTAATTCTATATACAGTTACAAACATCAAACTGCTTACTTTTCTGCCAGCCCAGAGTGTTTCCCTGTGCTGTATTTATAGCACAGGGAAATCACATCATTTGAGAACTTCCTATTTATTCTCTCCTTCCTTAGGCTATAAAGAGAGTTTAAAGTCATAGAAGATGAAACCTGCCCTTTGTGTGCTGATCTGTGAACAAGTGGTCAGACCAGCAAGCACAGAAGCTTCAGAGCAGAAGGATGAAACCTGAGTGGCCTTTTGTTAGATTTGCCAGTAGTTACCATGCCTGCTGCGTGCCCCGCAGGGTCAGGGCGCTCCCTGTGCGCCACTCATGGCCCTTCCTCGGGGCAGCACCGCACACTTAGAACCAGAGAATTACAGAATCATTGACTCAGCCGGGTTGGAAAAACCCTTTAAGCTCATCCAGTCCAACCATTTCCCAGCACTGCCAAGGCCACCACTGACCCATGGCACTGAGGCCTCATCTCCACGCTGTGTGAACACTTGCAGGGACGGTGACTGCAGCCCTGCCCTGGGCAGCCTGTTCCAATGCCTGAGCACCCCCTGGGGCAGGAATTGTTCCTCAGCTCCATCTAAACCTGCCCTGGGGCAGCTTGAGGCCGTTTCCTCTTGTCCCATCCCTTGTTCCCTGGGAGCAGAGCCCAGCCCCTCCTGGCTCCATCCTCCTCTCAGGCAGTTGTAGGGAGCCATCAGGTACCCCCTGAGCCTTCTCTTCTCCAGACTGAACCCCCCAGGTCCATCAGCCGTTCCCCATCACACTTGTGCTCCGGGCCCTGCACCAGCTCCGTTGCCCTTCTCTGGCCCCACTCCAGCACCTCAATGTCCCTCTTGTCGTGAGGGGCCCTCACTGTAATAACTGAGCACAGCTTTCGGTGCGCTTTACGCTGGTACTGCTCTACACGCAGTGAGTTCGTTCACTTCACCGCGTACGCTCCACTCCTCCCGCGTACCTCCAGCTAAACCCGAACCATCCCGCAGCCTGGAGCCCGCTCCCGCCGCCGGCCGCGGCTGTCGGGGGCGGTGCCGGAGGAGGCGGTGCCGGGCCGGCTGCCCGAGCTCCGCGCCATGGCGGGCGGTGCGGCGCGGGTGCTGCTGGCCGCGCTGCTCGGGGCGCTCCCGGCCCAGGCCGAGCGGGAGCTGCGGTTCCGGCCGCCGGCCGAGGCCCCCGTGCGGCTCTTCACCGAGCCCGAGCTGGCCAGATACGACGGGCAGCAGGTACGGGCGGGCGGGCCGCGGCGGGGCCGGGGCCGCCTTCGCCGGCTGCTCGGGCCCCTGCAACCTCGTTAAGCCTTGTTTTGTCGTGCTGTGCCGCCGTGTTGTGCCCCCCTCCCGGGGTAACTCGGCTCTTGGGCGCCCGTGAGCAGTTGGCATTCACGGCTTGTGTCCTGCTGGGTTTGGCCCGCTGAAGTTGCGTGCAGTCAGATGTTCCTGTTCTGTTCACTGCCTGCTTGGCAAGGTGCTCGTGCCAGCGTACTGCAGACAGCCATAACTGCAGCCGAAGTGATTCTTTCTCAGTAATTCATTAAACCATGTGTTTAGGTGCTTTACCCCCATATGAGAAATAACAAAGCAATTTCAGCTTAAGAGTTCTTCGCTTTCTGTGACACAGAAATCTCAGCAGAACTTCACATTCAAGATTATAAAGTCCTATATTCCTATGTACTGTGTCTTTTATAGATGAGCTGGCCCTCCTCAGGGCCTTCTCTGGATACTTCCAAGAAACTAACAGCATCTGAGTTAAAAATACATGTAAAAGACAAAGCAGAAGCACTGGCGTATTAAGTAAAACAGATGTCAGCAGATGAGATTTGTGTGTGTTTATGTTGCTCTCTTAATTGAATAAAGAACACTGTTGGCCATACACCCTTTTGTCTTGGGCAGTATCCATCTGCATTAGGAACAGATGCAGTTGATCATCACTGAGCAGACAGGAGGTGACTTGCAGGAGGGATGTGTCTTCTGTGAGTGTAATGTTTAAATTAAAAAGGTTCTCTCATTGAATATGCTTAAATGCTCAAAAAATGCCCATAAATCTCAGGGACAGTTTAAAGCACAAGAAATTCCAAGCGAGAGGATGTGTCTGCTGTATACGCACAAACAGGAAAAAGCATACAACTGAGAATTTAATGTTCATCCTCATGTCCTTATGGGTTTCATAGCTAAAGCTAACTGCTGCTTGCTTACACTGTAGGGCTGAGGGTATGTTGATGGCTTTCCTTCCAGGAAGGGCAGCCCATTTACCTGGCGGTGAAGGGAGTAGTGTTCGATGTCACTTCTGGCAAAGGTGAGTTTGCTTCTCCTCTCCTGTCCATTTCAATTTCATGTTGCTATTCAGGAATTCCTTTTTAAATATTCCCAATGCATGAGAAACCTGCAGTGCAATCACAACAGAAAGAATATACTTTCTCCTTTTCTAAATCCCCATTTAGCACTCAACCATTTAGTGCTGTATTTGCAGTTTGTGCCTTCCCTAAGAAGTACAGATGTTCTAATTTGAACTCCAGATACTTCATCCAGGTTTGCTGTAAAATGTTTGAAGGGACCATGGGGGCCCTGAACACTTGCCTGAATGTCATCATAAGCCAACTAATGGCTTTGTCCTAAGCTTGTTAATGCAGCTTGTCTGGACATAGATGTTGGCTTCCCTTTGAATCCTAAGTTAGACAAGGCTTGCCACTGAAAATTCTCATGAGAATATAAAGCAGAGCTCCCTATGGAACAGGTAGATTTTTAGAGTGCAGCGTAGGAGTTCAATGACTGTATTGTAGACCCCACCCTCTGCTGTGTTTTGGTTTTAGGGACTGGGATATATTACAAAAAAGTAACACCTCAAAAGTCAGTTTTGGAAAGAAGAGTTTTAGACTTGAGCTGTTGCTCAGGTGTAACTGAGTCAGAACTTGTCAGTGTAACAGGCTGGGGAAGAATAGAGGCTGAAAACCCTGAACACTGACCATACCCTGTGCAGTGTCACATCATCACTGGAGTATTGTTATTATTTATCTGACAGAGTTTTATGGGAAAGGAGCCCCCTACAATGCTTTGGCTGGGAAAGACTCAACACGAGGAGTTGCAAAGATGTCTTTGGATCCAGCAGATCTGACGCATGACATAGTAAGAAAATAGACCATTAGTTTAATTCCATTTTGCAGAGTTTTGTTGTTTTGCAAGTTGATGATACTATTAAATTGCTTGTATTAAAATTGATTTCCATATTTAAAGCCCAAAGACATTAATATTCTCAAAACACATCAAATGGATATGTGCTTACTGCTCAGGGAGGGTGCAGTGCTAACAGCCTTAAAGAGGAAGGAAGGGGTTTAATCTGTGCAATCAATACAACCTACATAAGCACATAAAGGGGAAATTACCGGCTGTTTAAAAAGACGCTTCCAAAGCAAGTAAATCCCTTTCTTTTCAATTGAGTTAGTGTATCCTGTGTCACTGACTTGGCAGTGAAAGCTGCCTCTCACAGTGGGCTGTTGCTTGTTGGAGGTGATTTACTTCTGCAGGGAAAACCAAGGGAGATGAATGGCTTGTTTGACCTGAATATATGAAAAGCACTGTCAAGACTGAATTTGAATGAAAAGAATAAAATTACAGATTATACTGTCAATTTTGTTATTCACACTCTGCAAAGCAAACCCAAAAACTGACCACAGGGTTTCCAGTAATCAGTAACAAAGAAAAATGCATGCAAATACCTGTATTGTTATTTGAGACAGGACCTTCATTTCCATCTCTCATTCAGACAGGACTCACAGAAGAGGAACTGAAGTCCCTGGATGATATCTTCAATAACGTTTATAAGGCCAAATATCCAATTGTTGGCTATACTTCTCGACGAATCCTGAATGAGGATGGCAGCCCCAATCTAGCCTTCAAACCTGAAGATCAGCCACATTTCAACATTAAAGATGAGTTTTGAGTTCCTAAGGAATATTAGCTCAGTTCCCTGTTCTCCGAGGTTCATTACAGCAATTAGCTCTCATGAGTCAATTTTCTGTTCAGAAAATGACGTATGTGTGTACACACGTAGTTTAGAGGAAACAGATCTGGATCAGTGTCGTACACTTGGGCTCTTTGCTCTGGATTACAGGAACTATTTCATATGAGAGTTATTTCTGCCTGGATTTCTCTGTTTACAAGTGTGTAATGTAAAATTACATTGTGTAGAAGAGATGAGGAAGTGTTTAACAGTTGAAACATGACTGGTCTTTAAATCCCAAGTTGCTTCCCACTCCTTGGAAAAGTGTGAATGCTTTAACACCTTGCCACAATGCCTTGAGCTAACAGCACTTCTCTGTGCTTCAAGTGAGTGTAGGTATCAGATGTACAGACAGGTGTAATAGAGGCTTACATTTTAAAAAGCACTGTGGGACTTAACATTTGATAATACTGAATCTCACATCAGATTTGAGAATACTCAATCTGAACCACTCCATTGCTTCAAATGCAGTTACTGTAGAATATTTAGGCCTAGTCTACAGCTGTAAACCAAGGAAAATCTTTTCCCCCCATGAGAACTACTGTAAGATTTTAAGACTATTATGTTAGTTTTGAATAAACGACACATTATTTTTGTTGCATGATTATTAAAGACCTACATCTGTATTAGATTATGATGATTTCCTTGTAGCTTCCTTCACTCTGACACGTAAAGGAAACTGTAGCCCACTGTTTTGCACATACTTTTACAGCACAAGTTTATAATAGTGCTTTAGTATCCTAGTGGGTATTGTTAGCTTCTTTCTATTGACAACTGCAGCTCTCATTTTTCATTTCTATTAGTTTTTCTTTGTTTTTACTCTAGCCTCATCCTTGCTGTTGCCATGAAGTGTGCATTCATCTGTTCCTCTTGTTTTAACCTAGTACAAAGCTGCACATCCTGATGGATGAAAGCAGCCCCCTTTACCAGGTTTCTTTGACAGGCTTTCAGCAACAAGAGAGCCCTAAAAGCATGTGCTATATAAATTGCTGCTAGTGACTGACTTTCACGAACTTAAGGAGAATGTAAATTGCTCCCAATTCTGTATTAATAATATAGATAAAAATACAATTCTGTATTTTGTTCTATTTCTTTAGCATTTTGGCCATTTCCTGTGAAGGAAAGGTTTTATTAGCTCATTCTCCACTTTATGTTTGCAGGGGCCTGGCAGCTGAATAACCAGAAAAGCTGTTTCTATTTTATTTGTCCTTTCTTTCACAATGTTACAGCTTTCTAAACTTGGTTTACGCTAGATCTCTTCATTTGCTGGAGGGACTCCATGGGCCCCCCTTGCTGTTGGATGGTGCTCTGGGGTGGAATAAATAACATCTAAAAATACTGTTGCTTCAGAGAATTTTTTTTGTTTTATGACAATACGATTACTACTGGTGACCTTTGGATTAGGTACCAGCAGCAGCTGGGACTTGTCCCCTTGATGATGCCTGCCCAGAGGTATGGGTGTAACCTGGCAGCTTTACGAGGATTCATGTAGATTTGGTGGCATCCTCCTCTCCTGCCTGAGAGGAGGATGGAGCCAAATAATTTTCCAATGCCTACTGGTTTTCCCCCTTCCCTTCTTTGCATGCTTTCTTACAGGGTGGCTTCAGTAGCTGTGCTGCTGTGATGACTGTAATAGCCTTGGCTTCATCTGGGACCAGCACATCCAGCTGCATTTCAAAATGTAGCTAGATTATAACTCATCAGCAGTGAGTGGCTTACTGTTCCAGTCCTCTCCCTGCTTTTCCTATGCACAGACTCATAGAATGGTTTGGGTTGGAAAGGACCTTAAGATCATTCAGTTCCAACCCGCTGCCATGGGCAGGGGCACCCTCCACTAGAGCACGTCAGCCAAGGCTCTGTCCAACCATCATTTAATCATTTCCTAGGCTATTTCACTTGAGGTTCCCACTCGATGGAACACTGTTATGATAATAAAACTTTAAGTGGGCACATATCCTTAGCACGTTTTCACTGCTACCTAACCCAGAAAACGAAATAGGTGGGAAATGAGAATGTAGTTTAGTGTGCTACTGGGATAGTCCATACTGGGTAAGGTATAGGTGGCAGAGCAGTACATGCAGGTCTGATAACAGGCAGCACTTCCTGGAGTTGCTTCTATAGGGTCAATGATAAGGACGTGAATTTGTACCTGCCCCATCTGTCCGTCTTTATATAACGCCTTCTGGTCTGGCTTTTTTCCTCCTGTTGAGTAGAAGGTGCGAGTCTTAGTTTACTTGTTTACAGAATTTAGGCTTAGATCTTCTTGGCTTCGGTTATCTGCTGACAAGATAACAGAAAGAGAGATTAATGTCCTGTGAGAAACAGAGCTTGTGGACTTGGATGAACTGCAGAGCCACAGGAAGTATCCCTGAATAAACAATTCCTATTCCTGCTTCCCATTGGTTATTTGTAGCTGTTGTCATCAGTAATTCTGCACTGTGTAGACTACCGTGTTCTGCAGTACTTCTTGACATGAGCCTTTATCCTTCTGACGTGAGACTTTATACTTCTGAGAAGTGAAAAGTTTAGAAGAATGTGGGTGCAAGCCGTCTCAGGGATAAGCCATCCAGGAAAAAAAAATACAACATGATTTTCCCTCAACTAAAGAAACCTCTCTGCAAAAGGAAAAGAAAGCCATGTCCTAATGTCTATATTTTACCTTCTAGATTGTACAGTGCAAAGGCAGAAAGTAAAGCTGAGACTTGGATCTAACCCTTGCTGTGTGAAAATTTGAGTCCACTTCTTGCCACATCGACTTGGGCTTCAGAGGTGGCAACACCACAGATAGGAGACTGATTACAAAGAGTCAAACACATGAACTGAATCCAAAACTTGTAGGCATGTTTAAATGTAGAGCTGAACTTAAAAGCTTTGCACCCTTCTTTTGTAGACAACAGGATCTTTGCATGAAGAAAACCATCCTAGAGGTAGCATTTGATTTAGGCAGTTTGGGCAGACAGAATTAGATGACGATTGAAGGGAAAACTTCCCTGTACCTAGTTCTGTGCTCCTTCACAGAGCTGCTAAAATCAGTCGTGGTGGATACGCAGAGCTTAGTTAACAACCAGTTAAGTGCCTGAAGGGTAATTTCACAGGTGAAACTGATAACTGGTTCAAACTAGCTGTGGCAGAGGAAGAGTATCCTGGGTGGCTTCTCCTTGGAGGCTGCAGCTCCATACCCTTTGTTTTACACTGAAGTGCTGTTTTGGTAATGATCACAGATAAAAGTCCTGGTAAATCAAACTTGATAATTACAGTGAACCTTTTAATAATATTTGTTTGAGCAAAGCTCCTAAAAACAGCATTAAAAAGAATAAATATTGCTCCCCCAAAAGTGTTCATTCTGAACTGCAGAACTGCGCAGCATCAGACCTATGGCAAAAGATTTAATTGAAGGGATTACATGTTTGAATTGAGATTATATTCTTAGGTAACGTGTGCATCCTATGCTTGGAAGTGTCTCAAGAATACCACTGCTTTTTCCTTATTTATTGTTTAACCATGCTCTGTACTTTAAAATTGGTATGCAGTAAATTGTAAGAATAGGGCAGTAGGACTTTCAAGGCATTGTCTTTCTGTAACACAAAAATACATCACCAAACATGCATGGTTAAGATACACAACAGACAGATCTAGCAATTTAGACAAAGGCAGGAGTCTTACAGTCTTTCTAAAACTTGTTCTATTCCATGTATTTCTTGAACTGAACAGGTCAGAAGTGACACCCTGCAGAGTTCTGATCTCTGACACAACAAAAATGAGAGGCAAAAATGAAATGATGATGACAACTTCTTTGGATAGCTGTAAAGTTGTCAGTATTAAGGTGCAAAAGACCAACCTATCAGTTTTAGTGAATCACAGAATCATAGAATGGCTTGGGTTGGAAAGGACCTTAGGATCATCCAGTTCCAACACCCTGCCATGGGCAGGGACACCTCACACCAGACCATGTCGCCTAAGGCTCTGTCCCACCTGGCCTTGAACACTGCCAGGGGTGGGGCAGCCACAGCTTCTCTGGGCACCCTGTGCCAGCGCCTCAGCACCCTCACAGGGAAGAGCTTCTGCCTTAGATCTAACCTGAATCTCCCCTGTTTAAGTTTGAACCCATCACTCCTTGTCCTATCACTACAAGGAAAGGATTTTAAGGTAGGGATGCTTGAGTATGTATTGAGCCTCTATGATTCAACACATTAAACATTACATATGTCCCTAAATTGCTGCTGCCAAGGATAAATACTTCCTTCCCATTTCTCTGAACGGTCTCCTTTGAGTTTAGCACATCTTGGAGCTGGAAGAAAACAGGCTGTGGAAAGGTTTATATGTGAAGCAGCAGCTTATCAGTGAAATATAACAACCTGAGGCAGAGAAGGAAAGTGAGTGAAATTCTACTTGTGAGAAGCAGCAGGAGCTTATAAATAGCTCACTGAAGAATACAGTTTCAGAAGAGGTGAAACTTGCTGATGCACTCAGAGATAAGGTTGAACTTGAGAACGGAAAAGCGTGACATCCTCCTTGGATACAGTTCTGGGAAAATCAACATGAATTAAACACTTTGTGACTGCTGGCTTCTTGCTCGACATCCTCAGCCTCATCTTCCAAAAATACTGATGCCTTTGGCTTTGATACCTTGCAGGTGCCTGGATTCATAGAAAATCACTGCTATTCAGTACATTACTTACTAATTGTTCTCATTTTGTCTTTAAGCGATGCTCATTCTAGTTAAGAAAGGAGGCTGGAGTTTTGCTGCTGAAGAGGTGACCAGGGACAGAGATGAAGGTACAATTCCCAGTTTCACTACAGTGTTACAATCCTTAATGCTAGGTTTCCTGGCTGTTAAAATGAGCTGATGCTTCCCTTGAGTTCCCTTTATCTTCTGTGCCTGTTGGGACTTCCAGCCATTTGAAGAAGGTAATATTCGTTGGACTTGTGGGCTGGCTGGACCCTAAGATGGCTGTAGTATCAAGAATGCTACACTCTGAAGCTCCACCTTCAATTTCCTCACTCCAAAGGGGTATCGCTTTGTCATGCTCCATCCTTCAGCTGAAGTGGGTGTATTTTGCCCATGTTCTTCCATGTCTGTCATCACTTGGAATTTGCCTGTATGTCCACTGGTAGAAATCATGATGATCCCCAGCAGCCTTTCTTGCTCAGCCGCTTAAAGGTATTGTATAAAAGGTGTTTCACAACATTCTCAAGAGTTTTAATGAGACATTCAGCATTCATCTACTAGGCTTAGCTAGTTTATGATAAAATAGAATAGATATTTCAAGTAAGAAATGAACCTCCAATCCCTTTGCAGGCTAAGGTACATTAATGTGAATTTCCCTCAGTAGCTAAAGAAACTTTTCAGCTTGAAAAAACCCTAAAATCCTAAGCAAGATTTTATCTAAATGATTATGCTTGCAGCATCTGCTGTGCAAAGTAACATGTATTTATGGTAAACTTTAATACATGGGGAAATAGTTACAAACGACTATTGCAAAATACTGTAGCTCACCTTATTGCAAGCCCTGTCAGAGAGTATGTGTCCAAATTCCTCATGGTACTGTGAAAACACAAAGAGAAGCCAGCCTAAATCTTTTAAATGGAACTGGTTCATGTTACCCTTAAGTAAAAAAATCACTCCCATTCACTAGCCTGTTTGATTTAACAACAACAGAAATAAATCAGGGCTTGTCCTGATCCTAGCTCAAAAATGCTGTCACTGAATGTGGTTTCTTCACAGCTGGGATGGTGCTGGCTGCTTCCCTTTCCAACTGCACACACTGTTCATAATCACTAGAATAACTGCATCAATTACTTACTTGAGAGATTCTACTTTTAAAACATGTGCTGGTTTTAATGCAATTGAACCGAAAACAAAGACAGTACCGTATGTCTAGAGAGGTCTCCACAAGCCCCTGGAAAGCCCTTCTTGACTTACAGGCAGGGTTTGGAAAGCCAAGTGAATTCTGCAGAACATTTATGTAAAAGCATTACTCTCCATAACTTCCTCTAACTGGACTGTCCTTTCATTTGTATCTTTTTCCATCAACTCATTTAGACTGACTCACTGCACCTAAAAATAGTTTAGATTTACTTGATCTTTTTATACTCAGAATAACACCACAAAATGGATCATGCCTACATGCAGTTATCTGACAAAACCTACTCTGTTATTTCAGCTCCTTCCTTTTGGTGTCTGAAAATCACTGAACCACATATTAAGCTGGTATAAATTTACATAACCATGAAAGTCAAGTAACTTACGTTCAAGAATCTGACCCTGACTTGTTTAGTGTACCAAAGATTATCTCTGAGCCATAGAGAATATCTCACCTTTAGACATTCTTTTAG